TACATCTGAGACCAACTTCAACAAATCACCTTGACCACTATATGGAAAACAGGAGAAAAAAAAGGGGGGAGGCACAGCTATGGAGGAGAGAGAGGGAGAAAGAAGAAAAAAGAGAAAGAGTAAGATAGGCAGGTAAAACGAGAAGAGAGAAACGAAGCAGAGGAAAAGGGAGGAAAAAAAACAGAAAAATCGGGTGAAGTATGGAATACATTAATTATACAAATTACACAAAATAATCTACAAAAAGCCAATTGATAATATTGTAACTTGCTTCAAAGTAAAATTATACATGGCATAAGACAAATTACTTATTTACATTCAAGACTGCAGTTCATTTTACAAAAGATTTTTAATTCTTGAATTTTCGACTCTGTTTTATTATTAAGTCGTGTTCGGATACCGTGATGGTGACGTAATAAATGGATAGTTGAGTTCTATTTTCAGACCGCAAATGCCTTCAAACTGCAAGGTTACTGCTCTTATTCTTATCTATGACATTTCAAGTGCCCTTTTAGAACCTAAAATTGCTATGAAGGTAATTTTAGACCCCAGAATGTGTGAAATTTTAGCCAATACGAGCAGACCAATTCAGCTCCACTTTAAAAAAAAACATCGTGACCGTTAATTAATTATTTAATTAAAAATAACAATACATGGGCCGGCTGGTTGTGCGTAATATAAGGAACACGAAAATGCCAACAAAAAACAACATCGGCATTAGCTGAAATACGACATAAAAGGCGTTATTTCGTTTTTTTTTTTTTCTTCAAATTTGACACTCAGTTTTTCATTATCTCACAACGAAATTATTTTTTGTAGCGCCCTCTGCAACAGAACTCAACTATCCCTTTAACAAAAAGGACACAAGCTTCGCATTTCTCTATGTTACAACACAGAGCTCTGTGAATACGCGTAGGCCTGACATTTCTTGCGCGCAGTTGCTACAAGTTTTTGTTTTGTTACGCTTTGGATTTTATAATTTTGAAGAGGTACCTTTAATTAAAAAAAGAAAAAAAGCCAATTAGTAATAACATGACCTTCTCTTTGAATTATATTTGGAGAGGTACCGTTATTTTCAAAGACAGAACAGGCTTTCAACATTCGCATTACCAGCTAAAACTTGTTCAAAGGAAAATACGTCATCACATCATGTCCCCAAAGATTTTTATTTCATTTTCATGAACCCTTCTAAAAACCAGATCCCCTTGTGATAAACCAAAAAGTACATATAACTTCCTAGACAGAAATAATCGTCTGGTATGGAGAATTCTTTCATCTAAATGATATTTGTATACCTTCCCCAGGTTGGTGGAGCCAAACGTAGTCTCAGCTGAACAACCGTCGATATCAGAGACTGAAGCCTTCGGTCAACACGTTACGTTTATAAAGAAACAATATACACAATAAAATTAAGACAATATACAATAACACTTTTTTGTACTTATTATTTATTAATTTATCATCAACAACAATAACGTGTATATCTTGATTTGTCCATGTTGACAATAATGCAGGGGTAAATTAGTAGTTCGGTTTTAATAAACACAGTCTATATAGAAACATTACGTTTAAACAAAAGTAACGTGCATTCACATGTAAAGTCTGAATGTTTACCACCCGTCTTCTTTCCCTTGAATACAATTCAGTGTATACAATATCAATGTCTTAGCGATTACTTACATTATGTACTCATTTTTTTTTAAACAGTTGAAGGTCATATACAGTTTTTTGGCAAATAGAACATTTAAAAAAACATGTTTAACATAGTCTCATGCTGTTTGCCTTGTATTAAAACTTATATGTACGAGATCTCTTTTGTCAACTTGAGTCTACAAACGTTAAATTAATTACAAAAGGCATGAAGTAAAATCCTGTAAAATCAAAAAAATATTTACATCTCTTTGTCCTTCATTTCGTTTTTCATGTCATGTTTTTTGTTTGTTTAAATTTCAAAGCACATAAAAAACAAGGTTAACAAAGTTAACATGATATATACAAAAATACAAAAATTCAAACGAATATACAAAGTTTAGGGAGAGAAGCAAAACTAATAATGAGAGTTTTGCAAGTAAATGATTCTTTTAAATGCATTCTTGTTTGAACAATAACCCCTCCCCCTGCCCCCTTCCATTACCCCATGTCCCAATCAGGAGGCAAGCGTCACCGTCTACGCCACACAGCATAACCAAGAAAACAAACACACACATATATATATATATATATATATATACAAACACACCCGTACATACACGCACACACACACACCCGTAAACATACCGTGTGAGTCAAAAAAAAGTTTACACCTAGAAAATCGCTAATTATTTTTAAAATCATCTATAAACAGTAAATCATTATGCATCTTATGAAAGAGTGTTTTATCCCAAATCATTTGGTACCATTTTTGTGTGGTATGTGTTCACGCTTGGATAAACAGGTGGCATTTTTTGCGAGAGTGCACAAATCAACATGCGCCAAAGTGATGCCTACAGTATTATATTGGGATTAGCGGAGTGAGAGAATGAATTGAATGTATCATATGAAATGCATTGCATATGCTTTTTGCAAAGGGCACAGTCACACACACCCACACGCTCGCACAAATGTTCATTGATATTTGATATTCGATATTTGATATGTCTGGCATGATGATTTTTTTAGGGATGTTATTTGGATCTGCAAAGACCGAATTAATACCCAAATCCCAATTGTTTTATTCAAACATCACATAAGCAACTTTGGCGCAGGTCGATTTTTGCACTTTCGCAGACAATGTCTCCTGTTCATTCAAGCGTGAACACATACCACACAACAATATTACCAAATGATTTGGGATAAAACACTTTTTCATAAGACATTTAACACTATAATGTTCATCGATGATTTTTTAAATAATTAGCAAACTGTGTAAACTGTTTTTTTTTTACTCACACTGTAAAAGCACCCACGCGATTAATAAAACTAATTAATCGGGATAATAATAATAATAATAACAACAATAATAATAAACAAAGATGACAATAGCAATATTTCTTATGCGCTCATATTCATCCCATGCTATGCTCAATACGCCGAACAAAATATGTACAGTTTACAGAATTACAAAAAGCAAACGTAATTCATCACTTATAACATCTTAAAGTTAATCTTGAGCTCTGGTGTGCTATTCGTATTTTGAGAGAAAATTGCTATGATTTATTTTGGATTGTTTGTCCTGCAGTAGGTTGGTTGTTTGCACCAATGACAGAAAAATAAACGCACAACACTTACTGGGAAGCATCATCTTCGGTAAAAAAAACCACAGCTCCCATTTGTACATAGTGATCTGTGTTTAGGACATGATTTCCTTATCTTTCTATGCTCATTACTCAGCCACTAGACATTTTTTACCAAAATTGTTTGGCACATGTCATTTATTTGTAATCTTAAACATTCAGTGTGAGTTGGATTCTGAGTTAGATTCTGAGTTGGATTCTGAAAGAATTTATTTTCTATATTTACCACAACTCAAATTAATCTTTAAATTCAATGTACATAAAATAATAATAATACAATATTTGATGTACTTGCAGTTTCGAATCATTACATTCCTTTAAATTTAAAGTTAAACAGTTCTAACAAATATTCAAATTTCTTTCTCTATCCATAGAAACTATATTTCTTTATGTATAAAATACTCAACATAATTTGATAATATTACAGTCTAAAAACATAAATCCATTTCAAAAGCAATAGTATAAATTTTGTAATTATTTACAGTTTCTACATACTCTTTACACTACAATTCGATGTTCATAAAATGACATTCTGATGATAATTTCACGTACGCGCAGTATGATTTATCAAATTCTGTAAAATGAAAAGTGTAATATTCTTAACAAATATTTACAATTTCCCCTCTTTTCCTTTAAACTATATTTCAATCTATATAAAATGCAGTCTTAACAGAATTTGATGTACTTGAAGTGTAGAATCTTAACTCGATTTAAGTAAACAAAGTATATGTACATTCTTAAACAATTATTTACAGTTTACACATACTCTTTGAACTATAATTCAATATACATGAAATTACAGTGTGGCAATCATTTGATTTACTTCCACTGTTGAATCATTACAGTTTGTAATAAGTATACAAGTCTTAACAAATATTTACAATACTTCCTCTATTCCTTTAAGCTATATTTTAATCTATATAAAAATGCAGTCTTAACATAATTGTATGTACTTGCAGTGTAGAACCTTGAATCTATCTAAGAAAGCAAAGTATATGTATATTCTTATACAATTATTTACAGTTTTCCGCCTTCACACGACCCCCTTGTTTAAACCACAACATTACCCTCAAATCTCGGAAATATATTAGTTCAGACTGTAGCTTTGACTGCCCTTTTAAATAACACAAATACGTATATTCTTATCTAACAAGACAGTCAAATCATGTTTTTACCTACTAAGTATGAAATCCCAGATTCCACATGCTCGAGATAGTCTCAACAAACATTCAAAAATATTATTCTACCTCTTTAAACTCTATATCAATATAAGGAAAAACAATAGTTTTGGCATAATTTGATGTACAATAAAGTAATATTGTTTTCAAAAACATGGTATTTTATTAGTATTATGGACTAGCAGTACAAAATATAATTGTTGCCAATTTCAAGAAGAAAAAAAAAATTGAGCCCTTATCCAAAGAAATTCCTGATATGAGTAAATGGGTAATTAAGACCAATTACATTTTTGATCTGTTGATCTATAGTATTATTTGGATCTATTGTTACAACAAAGTGTTTTTTCCAATTTATCTGATTTTGTATACACAAGTAGATGGGCGTGTTGCCAGATTCTAAGTAATATTTTGTCCTTGAGTAATTCAAAATATAAAGAACCCACGCAAAATGTTTTTTTTTTAATTAAGGCAACTCTGCTAGAGACGCTATAATACTAATGAAGATGGTGATAATAATACCATTATTACTACTACTACTGATGATAATGGTAATAATAATACAAATAATAATGATGACGATGATTATGATAATGATAACAATGTTGGTTGTTATAGTGAAAACAAGAAGAAGCAGGAGAAGATGGAAAGTGAAAATAAGATGATAATGATGAAAATGAAGAAAGTTTTGTGGTTTTTAAGGACATAAATTACAAGTGGGATGAGGTCAAATCCACGACATTTTCGTCTAATTCACTCAAGTCAAGTGTTTAAACTACTCTACTACGACACATCTTATCCAGTTTATCCTGTATAACCTGCATTTGCTGTTTAAGTTGCTCGACACCGCTGATTGCTTCCACATGTAGTGTACAAGCATCAAGGGTACTGTCAGACAGATTATTGAGTTCATTGCTGACGTCATCGATTCTATCCATCATGTCATCAATCTTCATATCGGTTGTCTTCGTGTACGCAACACGGTCCGTCTGAAATGTATTGATGAATATTATATTTGACATGGGATGAAAACTACTTTTTACACAATCGACATAAAAATGTTCGTCCCTTTAGTGAGTACTTTTAAACGCTAACAGCGCTTTCTTCGTTTGCCTGAGGCCGTCGTAGATGGCGTTTAGACAGCTTCGAGAGAATTGGGTTGAATGCGTTCGGGAGAATGTGTTGGTCCCCAACCCTGTTCATAGAGTCGTCACTGCTGATTCCTACGTTGATAGTATCCCGTATCCATCTCGTTGGCTTGGGGTCCTCTTTAGAAAATATGTTGTACTTGTCTAACCACCATCAACGACGGCATCAATCTGTCAGCGTTTAAGTACTTACTAATTAATTGTGTAAAGAGAATTTTTTAAACAAATAAACTACCAATCAGATGACTTTTTTTCACGATATGCTTATTAATATTTCTGAATATCAACATCAATAGAATTGGCTTTCTCCGTTCCACCGGATTTTTTCGTTGGGTTGTGGGTTACACGATCTTTCGTAAAAACATACCCCCATATTCACAGGAAAAAAATATGATAGTAATGTGTTTTCTTTATCTCCTAAAAATATTACCTACCAGTTATAACTTTCCTTGTATCTAACGAGATAAATTAACCCCGTTTTACATTAGTTATCCACCATGATGGGATATATCTATATCATTCTATAACCCCGAGTAATTTTAATCTTTACTTTTAAGCAGTGGGGGATACATACAAAGAATACATAATATTACATTTACCTGGTTCCTCTAGAAATATAACCAACTAGTCATAACTTTCCTTTTACCCAGTGAAATAAATCCCGTTTTGCATTGATTATCCCCTAATTATCCACCGTAACGGGAAATAGCGCCATTATCCTTGCGAGGTGGTAGTGAATTTTCTTTTACGCAGTGAGGGTACAGAAAAACAGATATTATACCGTTTTCCCCAGATCATCTAGAGATATTATCAACTATTCTCAACTTGTCTCTTATGTAGCGAGTTAAATTAAGCCTGTTTTACAATAATTATACACCGTAATGGAACAAGCGTTGTTATTCTATAACTGCGAGATCTTTTTTTTTTCTTTTTAAGAAAGTTAGGGTACAGGAAATAAACCAGGATATTGACACTTCCTTTGGATCCTTTAGAAATATGAACATCCAGTCACAGGTTTACTTGAATCCAGCGAGTTAAATTAACCACACTTTAAATTAATGATCCATCTTTATAGCTTCATTGCTTTTTAATCATAACATTATATTCATTCATCAGGGGTACAGAACACAAATAATTTTACAATCATTTACTATATCGCATTGAGGGTTAAGGAACAAAAAGTAATTATCATTTTCTCTAGATCCTCTAGGATTGGTACTACCTTGTCATAATTTTCTGTGTATATAGCGAGTTGATTAATCACGCTTTTCATTACTAATCCACGTGGAACATTCGTTACGTTTCTATAATGAGAAGATCATATTAATCTCTTTTTAACTCTTATCCTGCCACCGGGTTAATCTCCATTGTGCCAAGCCCTAAATCCCCTCAGTGCCAAGTTTATAAAGAGATAATCGGATTAACGCGATGGTACTATCAAAAGTGCGTGCAAATCGCTAGGCACAGTCCAATGGGCATAAACAATAACTGCTATTACATCTGCGTGCAATCATGAAAGAAGCAGACGAGCAGTAGCTTGCTGAGGTGTACTAAGCACTATAACATTAGCGTGCATGCATCCATATGGCAGGCTATGAGTTAAACGATGAGAGGTGCTATAGAAAAATAGAATATTACCGTATATTTCTAGATCGTAATGATAATATTGGCAATTTTTATAGCGCACATGTCCATAACGAATGGTGTTTAAGGTACTCAAATATTACCCAGGTTTTGCTAGGCTACCGTACGTGCTCACAGCATTCAATGAAATGTTTCCTATCGGTACTCATTTAACACCTGGGCGGAGAGTGCACGTGTAGATTCTTGTCTTGCCAAAGGATATTACTGTCGCGGTGGGACTCAAACCTCGAACCATGTGATCCACAGTCCGAAGACGAATCCTCTTTAGACCAAGACACTTATGAGGGAGTAGATAACACCAAATAATCACCGTTTTTTCTAGCTTATCCAGAAATGCCACCAAGTACTCATGTGTGTCTTTATAGCCAGTGAGCTTGTAGCAGACGGCTTTGAGCGAGGAGAGATTCTTGACGACTGTTATCGTTTGGTGTTGGAATACACTGTCCTTCCACGCTTTCGGAAAACTGCTACTCTGCACGGCCATGATCCTTTTCGCCTACAGAACACATCAAATACACCAGTTTACGGCTGTATCAGTGCGCATGCGCAGACAGTTGACCTCGGGTCATTGGCCCTGAAACAAAGCCAATGACCCGAGGTCAGTGGCAGCGCGTAGGCAGTGATATCATCATAATTTGCATGGGAGCAATTTTAATTTACGCATAAATACATGACCTCTAGGTCATTGGCTTTGTTTAAAATGACGCACACAACCGTAAACTGGTGTATTTCAAGTCTCACGTTTAATTCCTCTCATAAAAAGAAAGCAACAATAAAAACATATATCTGAAATATAAGTTATAAACACATACACATAAAAACATACTTTTAAGAATGAAAAAATAACCGATAAAGGGTGTTGAATTAATGAAACTAGGAGTGAAAGGGTCCGCAAAGGCCATTGTCTCGTCAAAGGCTAGCTCCAGGTTCTCAAAAAAATACAGTTTGTATAAGAACGAGGCTAGCCTTGCTGTAAGAAAGGATATTATTTTCGATGATATTATTAATTTCTTAACCCTTGCTTTCCAAATCGTAATATGAGTGGCCTTATTCTCTCGTATTCCACCCATCAAATGTTTGCGCTCCCTTCTTTTAAGGCCACAATATTATTGAATTAAAGGTACTATGTCCCATTTGCAGGCCCAACAAATGAAAAAGGTTAAATTCCAACGGCATTTGAAAGACAATACTTATTTAGAACTTCCCTAAACAAAGGGGGGGCTTGAAAATGTCTTTAAGTGGGAAAATAACGACTGTTTGTTGTCAAATCGACCTAGGAGCTATAGAGCCAATAAGTAATAGTCTGATTTTTCAGACCATTGTACCGACTGGTCGTACGTTTTATGCTGTGCAAAGATTCAATCAGCTTAATTTTGGCCATTACAAGAAGTGGGTTATTGATGCAGACACAAGATCATGTAGCCTTTGCAGCTCATGTTATGTGTGTTATTACCAAAGATGAAAAAGCCGGTCAGTCACTCAATAGTGTCTGACAATGAATTCTAGCAAGTAAAAGGGTTCCTTGCATAATTTGAAAATTTGGACACTGCTAACGTTTAAATTTCACAGATAGGACATACATAACATATTCATAATTCCTGCAAAGTTCTACATATTATGTCGATGTTGGCTGCAAAAGGGACATAGTATTGTTGCCAATTTGAAGAACAGCATGTGATCAATTTTGCCCAAGAAAAAGGAAGGACAGCAGGGTAAACTTACCTCAATTGTCTGTTTCAAAATCTCGGCCTTTTTCTGTATGACGTCAATGTCATAGACTGCCAAACCAGTCTAAAATGTAAAGTCAAAGAAGGGTAAAATTATCAGACTACAATCAGTTACTAGGCAAAAAATGAACCTTTTTACCTCAAAATTCTTGCTCTTTTTTACGCAAAAAAAACAACCACCCCTTTTGTCTCGAAATGTCTATCATGCGCAGGCATAGTGGCAGATACAGGGGGCCAAGGGGTCCGGGCCCCCTCCCCTGGCCAATAAAGGGTAATAACACCCTTTTAGGTTAAAAAAAAAAAAGACGGCCCCCTCCCCTCGTGCTCAAGGGGAGGGTGGAGTGGATGTTGAGTAAAAACAAAATAAAAATGTCCCCCCCCCCCTTTGAGAAAAAAAGGGCTCACTACCCCTCCCCCCCCCCTCCCCTCTCATTCGCCGGCTGGCTGAATCGCTGCTAAATACTGTTCCCTTGCCGCCAGATGGTTCCGACCCTGCGTAGGCCTATACAAAGTCAAGGTCGATGAGGACACAGGGCAGGCCCAACATCTCATCCCAACGCAACATACACACACACACACACACACACATACACACTATATATGCAGATAAGCAACAATGTGCTGCGAATATTATTTCTTACCAGGAGGTTCATGACGACTATCGGCATGGAAAAGAGAAAAATGATAAAGATAATGTGGGTAGTGTGTGGATAGAAGACCATGTTTGTGAAGTCCTCGGTAGCAGATTGCTGGTACAAGTAGTCCATGGGATGAAATACGGTATCAAAGTCTATTCCATCGGTCAGCATCGTCAGAGACTTAGCTAAGGAGTCCCCAAATGTGTGATACTGCGTCTGAGAATAGAAATAGAAAAAAAAGTTGATATCAAGAACAATTCAACAATACAGAAACATGTAGTACACATGTAATGCAACTCTTTCCAAATAATATGTAAAGTGGTGTGACCATAGTTCGCTGTCTCTAAAAATCGGTAAGATTTCGAAAATCTTATTGCACGTATGTAAAGAATAACCTGAAATTACACAGAGACAACATTTTGTATGTAGTTGGAGATGAATTTATATGAAAATATTGACAAAAGATCGGCAAGTTTTTGCAGTATGTTGCGTCTGCTCCGGCAAAGAAAAAAAAAGGGTTTGGAAATCTTTATTTTGAGAGCAGATGTCATCAAAATTTAAATAAAAAGTGGTGCCAGAGGATTGTATGATATTTTTTCTTGAAAAATATGCATTTTTTATTTTTTTTTTATATTAGATGGCTTTGACTATGACTTTTTCTTGAGTTGCAGCGCGCACGCCGATCTGACATCGAATTTAAGATCGTGATATCTCCGGAATCCTTTAACGCTAAAATTACTACTTTGCCCAAATTTGTAGTTAACATTTGTTTGTTTTGTGTGTAGAATATGAGAAATCATGGATCGAATATCACATCTTCTAATATTTAAAAAAAATTCTCCACGAACTTTGGTCACCCCTTCATACTTTTATACTATTTTGATGCTAACATTCAACGCCTTTTTTAAAATGAAATCCGCTATTGCTGTTATTTCCATCTATTTTGCCTATTCACACCATTCGCCGTAGTTATGCTAGTAATATTTTGTTTTGAAAACTATATAAATATCAATAACATTTGCGGCCAATAACTTACAATATATAAAAGGACAAAGTTTGAAGAAAAAAAACACTTAAAAGCTCGCAATTCATTTGATTACTACTGCTGCCCATGTATTTGTATGGGTTTTATTTGCTTAATAGTAGAGAAAACAATGTGTACGCGCAGTGAAAATAGGTGCGCAATACTATGCACTTTTGTACGCGATATTCCTGTGAAAAATTGGCTGTTTTAATTCATGTTCGTGCACATATAACAAAATGTCAATTGTGTGATAGCTTCAGCCAATAGGAAACTCGCTGACAAATACACTTTATTATAAAAGTTGTAGAGTGTTGTGTGGCAGCTTCTTAGCCAATAGGATGATCTTTAAACAAAGACAATATTTTACATACCTGATTGATGATAAGGATGCAGAAAACCACAGCAAAGGTGCAAAGAAAGATTCCAGCAACAGGCAAAAAGTTTACCATAGTCGATAAAACTTCTGTAAATCAACCAATATAATAAAACAAAATTACACTGACTTTCAAAAAATAAACACAGGGTCAATTTTAACACACTATTAAATACCCTGTAGAAATCAAGGTCAGATATTCGATAGCGATATGATTTTTAAAAATAATGAAGAGAAAATTTTAATGACAGCGGATTGACCTTTTAAATTTTGCCATGAATAAAAGTAAAGGCTTATTCAAATATACAGCTGTAAAAAGGAAATTTCACTCCGAGAAATAATTTAAGTTATTCTGAGATATTTATTTTATTATTCCCATTCAATCAAGATGATTGCCCACCTTTAAAATGCATGACAGAGGTATGAAGCAAGATTCCCTTACCGTTATTTTAAGTTACAATAATAATAATAATAATAATAATAATAATAATAATAATAATAATAATAATAATAATAATAATAATAATAATAATAATAATAATAATAATAATAATACATAAGGCGCCAAATCCACTTGGCAGTCAAATGCTCAAGGCGCAGCTTGTGCAAAGGATGAAATACATACATGATACATTTATACAAAGTGCAATAGGAAAGGTACAGACATGAAAGGTTATGGTAATCAATTATAAGCTAAATTTAACAGATATTTCTTAAGATTGTTTTTTAACACTTTAGCGGAACTGCTATTCTTAATCCATTGAGGGAGAGTATTCCATAATGAAGGCCCAGCATGAGCGAAGGTTCGCTCCCCCCACTTTGTTTTAACCCACGTCACGGTATGGGCATCTCCATCTGATTGATCACGTGACGTACGATGCGAAGTTTTATTATCAAGTAATCAAATTCAAATTGATGGCAATTTCATTTATAGTCCATACATCACATTTAAAAAATATGCAAACATTACAAAGACGTATAACTTAATTTATATTGACGTACAATGGGCTATTAAAAGTACATTTGAACAGACTTTCGAAAAATACAGTGGAAACCTGCTTAGGCAACCATCTGCAGAGACAGACAACAAGTGTAAAAAGACCCCTTTTTATGTGTAACTTGAATAGTTTATCATTAAAAAGGTTTTAAAGTGGTTGAATTGGAAGTGGTCTTAATAGGCAGGTGATCTTTATGTACAAATAAACGTTTCAATGAGTAATACAATCAGAGGAGTACAGAAACGAGGTCTTTAAAGACTATTAGTCTTTTTTACAAGTTGTTGCTTAAGCAGGTTTCACGAGGAGGCGCGATGGCACGATAGTATACCAGTAGTAGAGCAGTGGTCCTGTAACCGAGCGGTTCCGGGTTCGAACCAAATCAATGCGCTCAGTTCTTTTTGTTGGGCATTGATCCTCATTACCAAGTCCCTTGGAGAGCACTTAAACCCATCGGTCCCTTAGTTGCTTACTTCAACAAGCATATACATGCTTTCTTAGCAGTCAGGTAAAGCAATCATCAAGCATCAATAATCGACTGTATAATGTCATTGGTACCTAAGAACATAAGAATATAGATGCCGAAGAATGAAGCAGTTTGCAGGAAATAGATGAAATTAATCCAGGCCAAGAGAACTGCATATGCACCTAGTTCCCATTGCCATTCCTGCAATAAAAGAAAGAACAACAACATAGTTGTTTGGTTGAGCTCTTAGATTCTTATATTTTGAAGCACTGCTGCCAAATCCCCTCTAGCGCCATCTCAGGTCAGCTGTAACAGTATGGTCCAGTAACTAGCTACTTCTCTAGCTTTGCTGTTGGTTCTGGCATCGAGTCCCATTTATGCGGGTTGGAAACAGTCTAGGGTATTAGATTACGCACTTTTGGAGCCTTGACCGTGAGATGGCGCTATGGAATGAACAGTACGCAAGGGTAGGAAGTTCATCAGTTCAGTAATGCGTTAAAGGTTAGTGCCGAGTCAAGTGTTACGGAATGACATGCATATCTAGAGAATTGTCTACATTGAATAAGAGACGTTATAAACATTTTACTATCAACATACTAATGATTTAATATATTAATCAATTCGAGTATATTTTTTCATATTTCTTTCCTTACAACCATTGATTAATTTTGTCAAAATAAAATATAATTTATCTAGTTTTGTCAAGGAACTGCAAGGTCAATTTAAGGTCATTTCGTATAAAAGTATAATCTTAATCTCAATATTTCTTAAATTTGATGGATGGGTGATAGGATTCAATTGTAAACTTTCCTCAATTTAAGTATTATACCACTAATTTGGATGGTGGCTCAGTGGTTAGAGCATCCGCCTCATGAACGGGAGGTCGTGGGTTCGTACCCCGACCGAGTCATACCAAAGACTTATAACAATGGGACCTTCTGCCTTCTAGCTAGGCGCTCAGCATATTAGATTGGAGAAGGGTAGTAATATCGTATTATGTTATACAGGGCCCGCTGGAAGAGCAGTTTCAAAACTGAAGTGCAAACTGCAAAATTAGAAGTAGTAAGAGGAGGAGGAGGAGTAATAGTAGCATGAGAAGGAGGAGAAGTAGTATAAGTAGTATTACAGGTAATACAAAGTTATGGTATGGGGTCATGAATTTCGTTCAAATGGACATATTAGAAGCATATGCGATCCTACAATATTCAGTGATCGTTGTCGTGGTTGAAATCGAGTCTAAAGTTATGAAATTGTAAATAATAAACTGTTTATGTTGTATAGCTCCCTATCAAGGTCAAGATATCAATTAAGCTATGAAACAATGCTTCTTGACTAAAATCGACCGAGAAGCTACTCCCGTTTGGAAATTATATATCACAACTACAGATTCTGAGATTTCCATGGTCGCAGCTACCATTTTACGGCCGTTGGCGCTATTAGAAATTAATCAAAATTTTCCGGGAGTACCGATACATTTTTATATGTAATTTTTCTCAAAAACAGAAGTGTTTCAGGGGCCAACTTTTCTAATGCTTATAATACATCCACAGGGGCATCAAAATATACCAAAATTGTAAAGAATAACTATCCACCCAATTTTCAAAACTTCCCAAAACTTTGTATTACCTCTAATAGTAGTAGAAGCATAAGAAGTAGCACCAGTAATAGTGATAATAATAGTAGTAGAAGTAAGAGGAGTAGTAGTAATCTTTGTTGTTGTTGTTGTTGTCTTTATTATTGTTGTAAAATGTGCTCATTTTCTTTTATCGTTTTTGATAATGTTTAAATAATAAGATGATAATGTAATACTCACGGCTTTGAAGGTAACACCGTGGCTAAAGTAGAGATCCCCAAACCCCGGAACGACGAACAGAATGATCAAGATTTGGAGAGTGAGCTCTCGGATGACACTTATCCATACATTCATCGAGTTAGACTGTGTTGTCCTGTACAACCACTTTCTGCGAAGCTGAATTAAAAAACAGAAAGAAAAATAAATTATGAGTGTGATTGTGTATTTAATTGTTTTTATTATTACAACAGTCATAAGAGCTTTCTGTAATAGCACTTGTTCTGCGTAATGAATAATTATTGGTAGTATGTTATCAATTAAAACAAATTAATGTCAAGTTTTCTATTATCATGATAATGTGTACACGCTCCTAAAATTTGTTGTATTTTATATATGTTGTATCGCTAAAATGTAATATGATTTTTGAGTTGCAGAAGAAATAAATTAAATTTAAATTCTATTCAATTGAATATTGTTGTTAGCATTTGGTTGTAATCAAAGGTCATTTTGTTAAGGTCAACGTTCGTTTATCATATACAGTCATTCCCGGTTCCCTAAAACAATATTTGTATAATTTCCTGGTCATGCTGATCTGCAGAATACAAGTTTGTGATTGTTTTGAGTGTGTTTTTATGTTTGTATACATTTATATATATATTGAATTGAATTGAATGTATTGAACCATAAACATAGAAAAGTGAAACATAGAAAAGTAAAGTAGAATGCATAAAACAAAAGAAATACAAAGCTAGTAATTATATGTTTAGGGCCATAGAAAAAGCAAATTGCTTACATATTATACACTTTGAAGAAAGAACAAAGTAATTTTGATTCATACACTGTCGCTCATAAAGGTGGAATATTTTTTTTAATCCCAATTAATGGAATTATTTTAAAAATAATTTAAAAATAATAGATCTAGATAATAGTATACATTCTCAGATTTGATTGAATTATAATTTTCCAATGTGTGTTTTGCGTGACTGCTAAAGTATCCAAGGTCCGTCTGTGTGCCCATTCCTTGAACCATAATGCATGGCCGTCCAGAGGATTTTGTTATGTTGGGGACCGGGGTAAAATGCAATAAATTATTGAAAAATTATTGCATTTTTTTTTTTTTTTTAAATTTATGGAAACTGCCCCCCTACCCTAGCCCCTGCTGCGTACAGTCATGGTTCGGAGACAAAACAATGGCCTCGTAACTGTGAGGCCCCAGGATCAAAACCGTGTCGATGTGCTATATTAGTGCCCTTCTGTTGGGCATTAATCCTCATTACTGTCATTTATGACTTGAGGGCGTAGGTCCCTTCGTTAATAAGCATAATAGCATACACATGCTTTAGCAGTCCCGCAAAACACACATTGGTTAATTATTATTCAATAAAATCTGAGAATGTATACTATTATCTAGATCTATTATTTTTAAATAATTTTTAAAATAATTCCATAAATTGGGGTAAAACTAAAATATTCCACCTTTATGAGCGACAGTGTATTTCATTTGATATAATAATTATATCAAATGAAATACACTTTCGCTATAGAAACTGTGTATAAAAACATAACCTGGTTTGGAATTTAACTATAAGAATTATTAGCACATAAGACGTGTTAACAATTATTTCATTCTTCGATGTTTGACTTTGTATTTATTTATCTTGCTGCACTCAAATTTTCCTTTTTGAAATGCTATTTATTTAAGGGGGTCAACCAACTAAACTGAAAACCCATGAAAAAAGCATTTACATAAGCTTCTCAAGCCTCATAACAAACTAAACTGACAAAGACAAAATCAATTTCATAAGCAAAATAGGACAAATAATTCTAACAGAACTCGCTGAAAAAAACAGAAGGAACGCGAGACTTATATGAATTGTCTCGTGGACTGTCTGTCTAAAGGACGGTCGGTGTAACGGGCTGTCGGTCCCGTTGGATGTCGGTCTTATGGGCTGTTGGTCGTGTGTGATGTTGGTATTATGTGATTATATTAACCAAACAAACTGAAAACCAACGACACAAACCTTTACAAAATCTTGTCAAGCCCCACAACAAACTAGACTTACAAAGGCAAAATAAATGCATAAGAAAAACAGAACTCGTTGAAAAAATGTCAGAAGGCCCGTGATACTTATATGATCGGTCTCGTGGACTGTCTATCTAAAGAACGGTCGGTATAATGGGCTGTCGGTCTCGTGGTATGTCGTGTTCGTTGGATGTCAGTCTAAAGGGCTGTCGGTCTTATGGGCTGTCGGTCTTGTGTGCTGTTGGTATTATGGACTGTCAGTATCGTGGGATCTCGGTCGTGTGGGCTTTCGGTCTCACGGCTGTAGGAGATATAAGCCTACACATCCAAGCATAGAGGAGAAACATGAATTCTTACCATTTCAAAGAAATAGATAACAGTTAACAAGAGAATGAGCCAGGTCCCGATCGAACCAAACAAGACCAAAGCGATCGGGTCCAGGTCTTCCTTCCACTTGGCCTCCCCATCAGCCAACCACGTGTAGTTGCCCTCTGGTAGGTGCTTTTTAACATAGTACGGTGGAGGAATGATAAGGCTATGGAGTGTCAGGAAGAAGAGCAGTGTAAGTTGGAGGAAGAACCGGAGCCAGTATTCGATACGAAACGCGTTTGTCTTGTTCTTGAACATTAGACGAACTACAGGGTGGTTCAGTAATTCCTTACCGTCATCACTTTTAAGCTGAAACAAATGCAGAATGATAATTCTAGAAGAGAAACTTGATAGTACATGTGTGTCGGTCATTATCATTGATATGATTTTTCTGTAAATATATCATGATTTTCACACAATTCAAAATGCTGGTAGCTTTTTTTGTCTACTGGAATCGCTCTGATATTCTATTAATAGGTATTGATGGCGTATTACATTTGTTGTTGTTGTTGTCCTTTTTTGGGAAGGGGGCTCGTTTTGCTTCTGTCACTCACTTAAACCTACGAACAACACAGAAATAGGGCCCGTATCCTACTTCTTCAGGTTTGACAAAAGGAAAAATTAGTCGAAAGTCGTTGCGATCGACTTTCTTTCAAATACCTGAAATTTTGGACAAAAGCCTAAAGACAGCGTCATATTTAAATGTTGGTAGAATACAGTTTATCTCTCTGAAAAAAATGATCATCTAGCATGTTTAGTGTTCGTTTCGTTATCATGTTGACGTTTCTTATTTCACATATATTTAATAATTTGTAAAGATCTCCCAGCCGCCCTAGGGTGCTCACAGCATTCAAGGAATACATTTCTAACAGGAACCCATTAACTACAACTGGGTGGAGGGTTGCAAATGTACATTAATGTTTTACTCATCATACCATGTGTTGCACAGGATGATTTTTGGAGCGGGATAAGCGACCTTTGACACTGATCTTGGCATTGGGTTTCAATTTCCCATCGCTATCGAAGTTGGAAGAGATCTGAATTAATAAAACAATATTTAATATAGTGTTATGAATATGCAAATTTGCTTTTAATATTCATTTTTTCATGATCGTTACAATAACGTTTGAATCCTCCATAGGCATTGCAGACACCTAAAATAAAAACAAGATGCACATAATTGTTTTGCATATGCATATTTTCTTTGAATATTCATGTCTTCGTTTTTTATTAGAGATTGTTAATATAGTGAAATATGTACAACGAGTTTCAGGTTAATAATCGCCTTGTATTGATTCATGTCTTTCATGAGTTGATGTAGGGTGAGAGAATGGATGTTTTTACTCTTCATAATTAGCCACAACAATAATCTCCCTGTGCTACATTAGAATATTCATCATGAGATAAATAAGCCTATACCAAAGGCTTTAAGACGATTCTACTATTTCCAGTACAATATTCATCGATACCAGTATCAAAAAGGTTAATGTGAAACAAACAAGACTGGAAACAAGTAATTCTCAAAATCAATCGTGTCGCAAAAAAGCAATCACTTCGTCAATTGGTAACTATTGATTTATGCAAAATTGCAGGCTGGACAAACAAACGACAGTGCAGATTCGAACAAAGTAACCGAAGTATTACATAAATGTTTGACTCGCCTTAACTTAACAATAGTTTTTTAAATTCTATGTCTAAGCAGAACCTTTTGGCAAAATTTTAGGACCCTCCAATGATATACCAATCATAATAATTCTCGTGTCAAACTCTCTGAAATGAAGTTTAGAATAATAAACAAATTAAAGCACATCAAGCGTAAAAAAAAATCCACAAATTCTAATAAAGTTATCTTATGAAATTAAATATTCTAGAGAACATCATTTTGTGTTTATTACCTGTTCATCTTTCTTTTTGTCGTTATCACGTGATCCAGGGCTGAGTTCAGTCATTACAATCTTATCATTACCTTCTCTCTGCTTTTTCTCCCGATCGTCTCCTGTGTCAGAATTTGAAAAGATAAATAACAAATTGTTTAACTTTTCATGTGCCGCACAAATATTCTCCATGTGCCACATTGTGTCTAGCACTGAACAGCCTATATCAACCATTTGAAGGCTTCAGATAATTTATCAATTCCGAGTGCACAAAATAATATACATAAGTAATTAAATTTGTTTTACAAAGTAATCCTTTCATTAATTGGTGACTATTGTTTTTGTGCAAAATTACAAGTGTGGCTAACGAGCGATTGCATACCATCTGGGAAACCAAACAAAAAGGAATCTTTAATCAAAAGCACTTCATTGTTTAGAATAGAGCTTTGGAAATCGTGAATGAATTGATGCGTAACAGGGCATTCCCAAAACAAGTGTGAAATACTTCCAACAGAGGATAAACAAAATGTAAATTAATTCGAATTAGCTATGCCCATAATGTGAAGATATTTGTTCACCCCTAGTAATCGATGTAAAATTCTGAACTGGAAATTTGATGAAGCTTCGTGGAAAGGCAACATTTTAAAGGAATAGTGTAAAGTTTGTTCCAGTCTTGAACAGGTTCAGTTAAAATTGTAGCCCATGTCATTTCCGAAATCGGAACTTTACGGATCTTTTCAACAGAAATTTGATGAACATATTTGCATACTTTGAAAACCTTCTTTAAGTTATGCAATAACTCTTCTTGGGGTGTCTTGCTTTGAGCTTGGTGCTGTCGAATACCATCTTTCCATTCTTTTGGAAGTTCAGAGATTAATAAGTAGTAGTCAAGAAAATGACATTGAACTTTATATTTTTGAATAAATGTTAACTGTGAATAAAATTTACCATGCTCATCCAACAAATGTCTTATACGAGTGATTCCAATATCTTTCCAATTGTGTTTAAATAATAATAATAATAATAATTGTAAATTTATAATGCGCAGTTTCTATATGTATATACTCAACTGCGCATGACATATTGGATATTATTATTACCCCGGCTTTAGCTGTGCTGCCATTATAGCGCTCTAGCATTTCAAGGAATAAATTCCTACCGGGTACCCATTTACTTCACCTGGGTGGAGTGTGGCAAATGTAGATCAATATCTTGCCAAAGGACATTAGTGCGGCGGCGGGACTCGAACCGCGGACCTTGTGATCGACAGTCCGGCGACGTATCCAATATTACCACCTATTTTGATTAGAGAGTTATTCCACAATACGCACCTATTCAACGAACTTAAAATTTCATGTATAAAGTGGTTCCTTACATTGAATATTTTGTGGTCATTAAACTTTTAATTGCACAACTAAAACAAATCTTTCCCGAGATGTTTCATATAGTATTCAAAAAGGCATTTCCATTTACCTGTATTTTCTACATCAATCAATCGTTTTACCCATGCAGTTTTCAATCCTTTAATAATTGAAGGAAGATGTAACATTTTTAATCCACCTTGATTATTATCTCCAATAATTGTACGAAGGTTGATCTTATCTGGTTTTACACTCCGTATAAAGGAGTAAATTTAAGACCGTCATTACTACTGAGCCAGAAGGGATTAGACCACACAGCGAGGTCACTGACATGTGGCTATCTCATTAACTCAGCTCTCAACTAACATAAGAAAAAGAGGATCATGGGGGACCAACAGGCACCGATTGAGGAAGTTTTCTATATAGAGGGAGCAAGCAGCTACGAGTAGGACAGTGGGGCTTTAAATAATCAATTTCGTGCAAAAATTCTTCTGGCGGCTTTGGGAGAACGGATACAAGATATACCAATTGAGCAATGCCTAGCGACTTTAATACAGTGATTTTCCCTATAGTTAAATTTCTCATATTCCATATTCTCAAAATATTTTTCAATTTTGGTAATTTTGGAGAAAAATTTAATTCAAAGATATCATCAAGATTAATAGAAAAATACACTAATAGCAGTTTATAGGGTCCATTGGAATATCCAGAAAAGGATATGTCGGGAGGGTGGGCTTTGTAGCACCCAAGAGCTACTATTTCCGATTTGTTCCGGTTAATGCATAGTCATGAAGAAAAAAAATTGGTTTAAGATATACATGACAATTTTAAGCGAAGCGACGTCTTTTAAATAAAACGTTGTGTCATCAGCATATGGATTAAGCTTAATTTATGTACCACTCACTCTGATGCCTTTAACATCATTATCTCTCCTTATTCATATACTCCTTATTTCATTACAAATTATATACAGAAGGGGGCTTAACGGGCAGCCTTATCTAACACCACGTGTATTTGGAAACAAATTAGAAGCATGCCCGTTGTTCAACACACATGAATAAATATCAGTATACATAATTTTCACCCAGGATATCTAATCTTCCCCAAAATTGAAGTATTTCAAAGCTTGAAACATAAAGGAGACCATTCTAATTTATCGAAAGCCTTTTCTATATTAACCATTAACATAAAACTGGGAATATCATGTTCATTTGTTAATTTAATCATGTCTAAAGCCAAACGAATGTTCTCTCCAATGTACGGACCATGTAGACTAAGTAGAAATTATGGACAGCCATTGGAGCCTTAAAATGAAATATATTCAAAAGCAGAAATTCAAGTATTTTAGACTTTTTTTATAAATTCTACATCAAGAAAATGAAATCTCCTTCATGATTAAAAAAATATGAATGATTTGAATCAACATTTTATGCCTTTCAAAATAACTTTTACAAAATATTTTCAAAGATGCCAATGGCTTTCCATAATTTTTAAGTCCAACTTAGATATAAGTTCGACTTAGGATCTTTGTGAAACACCCCACAGGTGTCTTTATTTTTTTTAAGGGCGTGTTTTCACGGATGGTCGGATAAACACGATCGCAAAGACGTTCTAAAAATCAGCTTAGGGAAATATAATAACCATTTGCATCAGCTACTGAAATATACAAACTGGGGGGGGGGGGGGGTGTTTCATAAAGATGTTCGTAAGTTACGCATGACTTTACGCACGACTGGAACATGTTCTTGGGTGCTAATCAGATTCTCAATCATTTACATGTAGCACAAGAACATATCACCAGTCGTGCGTAAAGTCGTGCGTAACTTACGAACAGCTTTATGAAACACCCCCCTGGACAATGGGGTAATACACATATTACAAGACGTACCCCAAAAATAATTCATCTGTGTTGTAAAATAGAGCTTGGTATTTTCCATGTCGTTGATTTTTCGAAAGTCTTAAGCTAAGGTGATTCAATAATTGTGTTATAACTACCGTCCTTCATCCAATCTGAGTACCAGTCCTCTAGTAATTCAAAGTCAACTTTGATCTGATCATCTTTAGCATCGCTTGGATTTTTTACCTTGGTGATACACTTATCCAGTACAAACTTGCCGACACCTGTAAAAATCACACAAATGATGATAGTGTAAAGATTGGTTTAACTGACTGCTAAGACATGTGTATTTATACGCTTGTAAGTTAGCAACCAGGGAACCGACTGTTTTAAGTTCTCTCCGAGGGACTCGGTGATAGAGAGTAATGCATGCGTGACGCATTAACGCGGCTTTGTACCCGGGACCTCCCGGTTACCAGACCACTGCTCGTGGTATCTAATGATATGCAAAGTGCTGATGTAGTCTACATACATTAAGAACCTTAACACAGATCCATATCATTTCTTTCCTTATGTTACTGTGCCTGTGATATTCTTTAGAATAGGCTCGAACTGTCCGTAAAGGAAAAATACAACGTTCTAAAGATGCTAACAAGTTTTTAGAACGATTACGTCCAAAGAAAAAGGTTAAATACTTAAATCACTACCTGGCATAGAGCTAATGAGTTTCCTCATAGGCGTCATCTTGGGTCCTCCGCTGGTTCCTCCGTTTCTTGTTGCATTCGTCATAAGGTTGCGCCAATTATCTTGATCGAGCAACGTTACGGCAATCATCCTTAAAAAAATTCATGTTCCAAGAAAATGCATTCATTTTTTAATGATACCATCATTTGAAACATGAATACTTATTTCCAGTTATATTGTATACTCTTTCGAAGTTAAAGTACCCATTATAAATATAAATGTATAATAAAAAGAACATATCGAAGGTTCTGAATTACCCAAGTTCTGAATGAGAAATATGACACAAATCTCATTCCTGTTGTACATGAGACTGACGTTGAACTACGTCAGCGACTAGCCTGATCTTTGACGCTTGACGTCGGAGTGTAATGAAAGTGAAACCTTGCAAGATTACGGTTTTATTTGCGCAGGTAATAGCGGAGGTGACATAAGGGCATTATCACAATTCTTATATTTCAATTACTTTTAAACAAACAATTTAATCAGAAAAGGAAAGAGCACTTGTAAGCTTAAATGTTACCTTAAAAGCGATACCGAACTGGTGAACTTTCTGCCCTTGCTTACTGATTACTCCACAGCGCCATCTCATCGCCATCCCAGTGCACAATATTGTCTTCTCTATCATTAGCGGATATTTGGGTCATTTGTACCATGTACTAACTACGAACTGAGGATCGTTTCACGAAACTGTCATAGGTTTGCCGACATCACATTGAAAAGTAAAGTTTGATACACGCGTTTCAATAGAATGTCGTCGAACTTGTACTTTTAACGGTTTCGTGAAACAATGCCTAGGTCTATTGGAACATGAAAAACTCAACCAAATCAAATCTGTATTGACCTACTCGTGCCCATTGTCGATGGCATGGTCTAAGCAATTCAGACCATTCACGTCACAATCAAGAAACCCTATATTCACTTGAGCCTCTTTTTGCATCTCCAAGAGCAGTTTAACGACGTAGATATTCCCTGTTTGGCAGGCATACATGAGCGGTGTCATCTAATGTTAAGAAAACAATCATACAATATTTTAATATAAGGATATGTAGGAAACGTGGTCAAGTGTATACGTTACCGGACTGTGTGTGCTTCACACGGTTCGCGGTTCGAGTCCCGCAGTGGCACTAATGTCCTTTGATAAGACATTAATCTACATTTGCCACACTCCACCCGGGTGATGTAACTGGGTACCTGGAGGAGAACCAATGAATTGGAATGCTAGAGCGCCATGATGGCAGCTATGCTAAAGACGGAGTAATTTTTGTGGAGCGCCAGGATTGTCAAATCCGACATACATGAGTGCTTTACAAGAACCCACTGTTATTATTATTATCATTTGAGGATATTATCTCAATATCTCAAAGTAACAAATGCCCCCCAAAAGCGTCTTCAACTTGCTAAAATTGCTAAGATCTCTAAGCTTCGTTAAGACTTCTTTTTTTTTCTTTCTCTTTCTCTCTGTCTGTCTTTCTCTCTCTCTCTCTGTATCCATTCCTCTTCTTCCTCATTTTTCCCTCTTTCTTCATCATGAAGCACTACTGCTAAGAGTAATAATAAAAATAATAATAACTAGACTTGTATTTGTCACTTGACAAATTAGGTGATACGTGATCAAATTTACATAATGAAGAACGCATTTTCACGATTTCATCTCATTGTATGCAACGCTCCTCCAGTATTGTGCTATCTATATGTCAAGTTTTAACTTCGGAGCATTAATCACTATGGATAACTTGGAATAAAGATTGAGCCAATATGACCTTTGACCCTCATTTACATGAGGTAGGGAGCGTTTTCGTTCATAACTGTCAATTTATGCAATGATCTGTGTATGTTTTTCTACAAGTTTATCAAATTTCAAGTGCATATCCTGTATGGTGAGTGAGATAGTATTAAAAAATTAAATGTTTGACCTTTGACCCTCATTACAATATTCAAAACAATATTTTGGTGATTTAACGTGTTTGCAATCCAATGAAATGAACCCTAATTCTGGTCTACAGGTCTGCACAATTTCCAGTACGTATCAAAGGGTATTGAGATACTATGCCAGGCGCGTACGCAGGGGAGGGGGGGGGGGCGTTAACCCCCCCCCCTTCATTTTTTATGTGTGTGTTTTGGAGGGGAAGAAAAAAAAATTTCCTCTTTTCTTTTTCTTTCCTTTTAAATTAAAAAATACAAAAACATTATGCTAATAGATGACCTCAAAAAGGTGACCTTACCCCCCCCCCCCCAAAAAAAAAAACGGAACGAAATGTCGATCGGTCAAATTTTAAAATTTCGGGACCCCTCCCAGAAAAAAAATATATGACCTCTTACTCACCCCACCCCCCCCCCCCTGCCTTTTCAGCGGCTAGCTGAGTCGTTGCGAAATTTTCGGCCGGATTTAAAATTAATATAACCCCCCCCCCCTGAAAAATCCTGCGTACGCCACTGTACTATGCACAATATACACTGTTGGTCATAATGGTGGAATAATTGTATTGAATGACTTTGACAATGTTTTATTCCATAATGCATGGCCCTACAGAGGAACTTTTCCTGTTGGGGATAGGGGGAAAATGCAATGAATCATTGATAATTGTATTTTCTTTGTTTATTTTTTGTGTGGGGGCGTCGACGTACCCTAACGCCGTGTCGATATGCTATATTAGTGCCCTTTTATGAGGCATTAATCCCCATTACTGTCAGTTATGACTTCAGGAAGTAGGTCCCCTAGTTGATTAGCATAATAGCACACACGTGCTTTGGCAGTCACGCAAAACAAACACTCCAAAATTGTCATTCAATAAAATCTGAGAGTGTATACTAATATCTAGATCTGTAAGGAGTTAATCATTGTCAAAATCATTTAATAAATTGGGGTAAAAAAAATTATTCCACCATTATGACCAACAGTGTATTTGGCCTTCGACCGTAAGTCACGTAATGAAGTAAGCATGGTGGCAGTTTCGTTTCACCTTATAAAATGTTTGTTTGTCAATATCTACGATCTACATGCAAAATGTGAAGTCCGTAGCATCAACCATTATGGAATTAAAGACCACAAACATATTATGTTACTGTTCATCCACTATTTTAAACAGATTTGGATTCCTAACTTTTATCAAATCAAACAGCCACAACTAAACGGAACATTAAGATGGGCTGGTAATTGTAAACTACTGCAGTATGTGTTGCAAAGTAACCAAAGACATGGACAGAGAAGGGAATGAATGTCATTTCATTCACGGGTGCGTAAGGCCCTCTCCCTTGAGTTTACGTAAACAAATAACTATGTTGGAATTTAGAGGCTGGATGAATGACCACAAGTGGAGTTTCCCTTAAATTGTTTAATTTATATCAATTCCATATTGTGTATCTTTATTTCAGAATTTACAGAAATGAATACATAGAACAAATTTTGAGAAGCTTATAATTACTGGTAATTACTAAAATGCAGCATTAATGGTTACCTAGACAGTACAGAGCAGGTGAGAGAAGGGGGAATCCTCTTTTTTTTGGCGTGAATACTGGATATAATTCCTGCTTTTTAGATATTATTTATTATGGGGGAAGTATAAATGTTATCAATGTTATTCTGTTTTTGATGGAATTTTGCATCCATATAGCTCCGATTAGTCTCATTGGACAACCCCCTTATCGTCAGAGTCCAGCAGCCTAACATGTTAGCCTATAGACTTTTACCCCCAAAATCGTTAAAAATTCATTTTTTGTTGAAACAAAAATCACATCCACCCAGACGTACGTTGACACTAGCTCTTTTGTTGGAACCCTCATGTCCCATTGACTTTTGAAAGTTCACCCACCATAATTTGATGAAAAGAGGTCGCCAGCTCGCCATTGCCTATACAACACATGCGCAACAAGTCGAACTTCGGACGCAATTTGCCAGGCGAGTGTAAGGTTATAGGTCAATCACACAAAGAATAAGAAGCATGAACTATCATAGATCAGTTCTGATTGGTTCATTATATCAATTTCAGCCAACCCCCCCCCTCCCACCGTAATTTTGTCATTTACCATAGGCAAACATTTTGCTGAGGTAAGCAAACACATTCATGACACGCCATGGACTATTTGATTATTTACAGAGGGGTACAATTATGCACCACATCAAACTCCCCTATTTTCAGTCAAGTATTTCATTGTATTATGTAGTTTGGTAGGTTTATTTTACTAACTGTTTATCAGAAATCAATGATAGTTTAAAGATATGGAAAAGGTTCTTGTATTTTATATTTAGCAAAGCGATCTCACATACAAAATCACTACCAAGTGTCGTTTGCTCCGCCGATTGTCGTCCGGTTTATACGTTCAAGGCACATATTAATCTGTGGATTGTGATGTAGACAGTTTACTCGTCATTGTATATTTATGGTTAGCCATCTATCATTTATTAGTCTTTAATTATTGACACAAGTACAATTACCACACACACGAACACTCTCACTTCCCTCCCCAACAAATCATTTCCGCACACCCGGTTCACACATCATACCCAATGGCATACACCCTGCAACATAGTGGAACATTCTACGAAATTGACATTTTTCCTGCAAAATAGAGCTCTTGAATTGTGTTAGACGTAATTTACCCTATTCTGATGACTTGAATGCATGCCAAGATAACAATGGCTGCGTTTCCATACAGAAATCAAACTAGTTTACGATTAGAAATTGTCAATTTCTCGATATTTTCGACGTCAATGACAGCTGATTGGCTAGTTTGGTAGAGACGTCGATCGAGCTACGTTTGTGCTGGCAGTGGTCCAGCGGGCGAAAAATGAGACAACCGGAGCAATATGCTATTTTCATGAGACCATTCCAAGATTTTAGAAATTATGGGGGATGTGTAAGGTGAACTTCTCTTTATTTGGCTTGATCACTGGATTAAATGTTCTCCCTTTTTTCAATTGTATTCCTGTTAGTGAATGTATAAAGAAAATATATATGAATGTGATATTTGTTCTTTGATGCATCATTTCATACATCATTTCATAGAACCGTTCCAAAATGTTAGTACTTCGTATTCATTACACGGTTAGCAGATGTATTTATGTTCTTTCTTTACATAGCAATTAGTTTTTTTGTCGTTGTAATGCTTTCATCATCGGGCCAAGAAGGCAAATATTATGTCAAAAAGAAAGAAAGGGAAGGAAAGAAGGGAAATGAAGCATCTGCGAGCTCTCAGAATCGGATGGAAAAGTTCAACGCTATACTTATAGAATAGAATTCACATTAAACATCGCTCGACAAGATGCATAAATTCACACCAATTAAATTCTCGTAAAATATTATATTCAAGGACTCAAATTCCACATAAAAAGACACTTAAAGTGTTCCAATAAGGCTCAAATGACAGGGACCAAGGGGAAGTGTAGAGAAAGCAGGGCACCCAAAATTGCAAAATCACCGCAGTGCAGTCACAGCCCATTGACAACATACACAGAGAATAGCGTTGCAATAACCTAGCTCATGTCGGAAAAAAAAGTTACCATCATTTACCGGAAACAAATATTACACGCAATATATGTTCACCAGGATGAATCAAAATCACAAAGTTACCGAAATAAAGTGAAAGGATTAGAGACAGCAAGCGAACAGAAATACACCCCCAAAATATATATAGGAGAGAAAAGGACGTTAATAATACGTACTAGCTACCGTACGTATCACCTAATTATGAAAATAATAATGATGATGAAAATAGCAATGATGATAATAATAACTACTACCTTATTGTTGTCCTTGATTCTTGCTAGTTCGTTGTCAGTTTTCAGGATAAGAGCATTAGTCATTCTGTGACCTCCTTGAATCGCCACATGTAGTGCCGTTTGTCCCATCGCATTCCTGTTCGTAACATAAAGCAAATCATCGGTGATGTCATGGTGAGATATTATGTAATGAAGAGAGCGCCAGCTACCTTCTGGAATAGGCTTGATATATGAAATGGACGCCTTCTTTATTAAAACTAGTTATTTTGATGTGGCGAATTCCACATGTCGACCGGGATCCCAAAACGATAACTTAGGAGTTACACAAAATAACTAGTTTAAAAAAGCGTCCATTTTTATATACACTGTCGCTCATATAGGCGGACTATTTTTGTTTTACCCCAATTCATAGAATTATTTTAAAAATAATTTAAAAATAATAGATCTAGATAAAAGTATACATTCTCAGAATTTATTGAATAATAATTTGCAAATGTGTGTTTTGAGTGACTGCTTAAGCATGTGTATGCTTCTATGCTTATCAAATAGGAGACCTACGCCCTTAATTCATAAATGACAGTAATGAGGATTAATGCCCCACAAACGGGCACTAACATAGCACATCGACAAGGTTTGGATCCTGGGGCCTCACAGTTACGAGGCCATTGCTTTGTCACTGAACCATGACTGTACGCAGCGGGGGCTAGCGTAGGGGGCAGTTTCCATAAATAAATAAAAATAACAAAATGCAATCATTTTTCAATATTTTATAGCATTTTACCCAACATAAAACAATCCTCTGTGTGCCCATGCATTATGGCTCAAGGCATGGGCTAGGGTAAAGTTGCTTAATATCGTTGTAAAGTGATGTTTTGTTTTTTAATGTTGTGTTTTGTGTTGTTTTAGACTCGTGGGTCCTTGATTTGGTGGTCCGGAGGAGATGTCTCGATGAGATATTATTTAATAAAGAGAGCGTCAGCTACGTTCTGGAATAGGCTTGATATATAAAATGGTCGACTTATTTAAACTAGTTATTTGTTGTTACTCCTAAGTTATCGTTTTGGGATCCCGATCGACATGTCAAAGTCGCCACAGCAACAAGAAAACAAATACGTTTTAAAGTGATACAGAACGTTCTGCCCTAGCACATTGTTTATCGCACAGCACCACTCCATGGTCAACATGCCAACAGTGCGTAAAGAAATAAAGTAATAATTATGTAATTTCTGCTTCGCAGACAGAGGACTGGATGCGACATCCAACAGCGCAGCGAGCTACAAGACCATACTGCTACAGCGGACCTGAGATAGTATTTTGCGATAGGGGTTCAGTACAATTTTTACTGTATTTGGGAATCTTACTTTTTCTTCGTTTTAACATCCGGGTTCTTGAGAATAGCCTTTGTTGTTTGATGATGACCTTTTCGTGCTATTAGGTGGAACAATGAGTTACCATCATCATCAGCCTTGCGGATAAAGGACCCGTCCCAGGCAACAAGCTCAAGGACACTCCTGAAAAGATATAAAAGACAAAAAAGTAGAGACCATATATTTCTTTTTCAATAGAGGTGCCGTGATATTGTAAATACGTCTTCTTTCCATTTTCTCCCAGGTGTTAAATAGGTAGCCGGTGGGATGCGAACGTTTTGTGGTTGGATTGGCATGTGTGCGCTTGTACAGTGATGCCTGGCTGGAATACTCCTTAGGGAGCGGAGCGCGTGCACGATCTTGTGCGGATTTTCAGTTGAATTAAATGACCGGGGTAATAATGATAATAATGATAATAATAATAATGATAATAATAATGACTTCTTATACAGCGGAACGTATCCACCTTGCAAGGTGCTCAAGGCGCTTTAAAGACCGTCAATACTACTGGGCCAGAAGGGATTAAACCACACAGCGAGGTCACCGACAGGTGGCTATCTTATTAACTCAGCTCTCATCTAACATAAAAAAAGAGGATCATGGGGATCAACAGGCACCCATTGGGGAAGTTTACTATATAGAGGGAGCAAGTAGCTACAAGTAGGACAGTGGGGCTTTAAAATTTCCAGGCTATGCTAGGCTACCGATTAGGGCGCTAACAGAATTCAAGGAATTCCTTCCTACCGGCACCCATTAAACACCTTGATATCAAGAATTACCATTGCTTTACAACATACAATTATATCTTGAGAACAAGAATTGATTTATTGATATCAATTAATAATAAAACGGCTTGCCATAAGATCGCGCCAGCTCGCCACAACTCGAGGTTCCAACTCGGCTAAGTAGGAGCCCTGCTTTAGGAAGGAGGACATAGACGATTGATTGATAACATATATATAAAAAAGAACATAATCTGGACTACGAGCGATTATGGTGTTAGCACTTTGGTACTTTATACCTTTAAAACCAAACTTGAGGTAGATAGCGTTCTTATGAGAGAGCATCTTCCAATTACACTTATCTCTCACAGATCCTGCGACCCCCGAAAATATAGCTCGGTGTAAAAATATCAGTGGTAAAAATGTCAGAGGTAAAAATGTCAGAGGTAAAAATGACAGTGGTAAAAATGTCAGAGGTAAAAATGTCAGAGGTAAAAATGTCAGTGGTAAAAATGTCAGAGGTAAAAATGTCAGAGGTAAAAATGTCAGAGGTAAAAATGTCAGAGGTAAAAATGTCAGAGGTAAAAATATCAGTGGTAAAAATGTCAGAGGTAAAAATGTCAGAGGTAAAAATGTCAGAGGTAAAAATGTCAGAGGTAAAAATTTCAGAGGTAAAAATGTCACATGTAAAAATTTCAGAGGTAAAAATTTCAGAGGTAATAGTGTAAGAGGTAAAAATTTCAGAGGTACGAACATAAATTCGGGGTGAAAATCAGTGCCGTCGTAATACCTTAACATTTTATCACACAAAATGTCGAGACGTAAGCTACTGGGCTAGTCTATTATATTCCCTCCTTCCATATCATAATGTATATTTTATAAATGACTAATGTATTGTACTTTGTACTTGTCCTGAGGATACTACAATGTGGAAAATAATTTTGAAACTTATAATTTGTGATCAGGTTTGCAAACAGGGAAGCAGTTATAGATATCGTACAGAAATTCCTAAAATTCAGTCATCAGACCCATCTTCATGTTCAAGAACACATGAAGAAAAAGACACGGATGCTTTTTTCCCCTCATCAATACTTCATTTCAAAGTTTAATTAGTAATCACTGAAGCTTCGATCGAAAAATGCCATAGTAGGCCTTCATGTAGTCAACGTTGAGGTATATCTAGCCAGGAGGAGCAACAGAAGTGAACATTTGTTATATATTTTTGTTTGGCTTGGAAGATGCACTTTGTGATTCATGGTTTTGGTGTACAAGCCGGTAAGAGGGAAAAGCTACACTGTCGCTCATGCCGTTGGAATATTTTTTGTTTACCCCAATTTATGGAATTATTTTGACAATGATTTATTCCAAATAGATCTAGATAATAGTATACATTCTCAGATTTTATTGATAATTGCTAGTGTTTGTTTTGCGCGACTGCTAAAGCATGTGTATGCTACTATGCTTATCAACTGGGGGACCTACGCCCTTAAACCATAAATGACAGGAATAAGGATTAATGCCCCACAAAAGGGCACTCATATAGCAAATCGAGACGGTTTTGATCCTGGGGCCTCACGGTTACGAGGCCATTGCTTTGCCACTGTTAATTTGTGCTTTACGAAATTCGTTGTTGTAGTTAAAAGTAGTTCAAAGATAGACGTATTCATCAACAACTTCTACAATATCATCATCAAGTTTAGATATAGGAATTTTTCGAACTTTACCACGAGAAAATACAACACGGTTTAAGCGGACCAACCTCTACGCGCCCTGCTGCGCATCGCGTACTAGTACTAGTACTAGTAATGAAAGTTATTGCACGCTTTTTCATGAAACAAACGTGGGATAATCTCAATAAAGGATTCACATGTCAACGCGTTTGACCGTTCATTTAAAAGTGCCTTGTATTAATATAATTCATATTTCGTTTATTGTAAAAATGTAAAAATCTTACTCTGTTTGGCCTTTTTCTGCACAAAGTCGGGTCAATTCCATTAACATGTTGCCGTCTCGCCTCTTGTTTATCTTGATTTCTTTAGATCCGTTAAGCAATGCCTGAAAATGAGAACAAAAGAAACAGGAAATAAAATATGCCTATTAAAGAACAAAAACATAGGTATAAACATTCTTGCATAGAGAGAAAAGAGGTAGGTGAGAACAAGTCAAAATTAACGAAGGAGCGAAAAAAAAATGAATAAAGTGTTAATAAATATATATATGCATATACGCCACCTGTCATTTCCTTTCACATTATGAATACAAATATATATATATATATATACATATATATATATATATATATATATATACGAAGTAGGTGTGTTGGTGCATACGGGTGAGTATGTAGGCGTTTTGTGTGTGTGTGTGTGTGTGTGTGTGTGTGTGTGTGTGTGTATTTTAATACATTTGTGATGAAGAGTATGCAATTAAGACTTGGACAAAATGTAATCTATTTTTCTTTTTGAAAAATTAAGGGAGCCGATTAATTGATATCAATTTTTATGAAACGGGGCCGAATTGACAAGCAGAAGATTGTACTATGGAATTAAAAGAATTTGTTGTTGCTAATCTATTTTGTAAGGGTGTTGACAAATTTGTAATGTGGCATCGGGACCTGCCAAGAGCACATCAATCCAAATGACTCGCAGCAAACGAGGCCTATGCGTCGCCTCGGCCTATGTATCGCCTCGTCCTATGAGACCATTAATAGGGACTTTTAGATTTGCACAACGACAACGTGGATTGCGACGATCGACGTCCTTTTAATGCACTGCCTTGAATGGACGTCACACGTATCAGTCCACACAAATCTAAAAGTCCCTATTGTTGGGCCAGTGAACCCCCAGAAAGTAGGTGAGAAGGCTCAAAAGAAGTAATAGATCTGTTTTGCTGTCTTTGTCTCGTGGGCTAGCAGTCAGTCTTGTATAATTATGGTAGGTTTCTTTATTTTACCCGACTGCTAAGAAAGTATGCGTGTGCTGTAAGTAAACAACCAGGGGACCGACGGCTTTAAGTGCTCTTCGAGGGATTCGGTAATGGGGATTAATGCATTATCAGTGGGCTCTAGCGCATCGACTCGGTTTCGAACCCGGGGCCTCCCGGTTACGATACCACTGAACTAACACTGAGCAATCAAGCCTCCGTCTAAGGTCGGTTCGTATATCGTAAGTCTGATACGGCACCGGCCTCGTGGGTTGGACATACCTGAAGTACTTCGAAGAGGTTTTTCTCCACCGAGATCCACTTCAGTAACTCAAACAATGTTGACTGATCTTGACGTTCGAGTAGAACTACCAAACAGTCGATAGCCGCTGCGCCTTTCTTGGCTGTGTACTTCAATATAGGTTGTGGATGTTCAGAATCGTTCTCCTCCATACCAGTATGAATGTTTCCATCCCGTCTTTTGAGCAATACAGGGAAAAATACCAAGATATAGATGTAAATTAAACAAAAAAAGTTGTTATCGTAATTAGTGGCGTAGCCACACGTTGAACACAAGAACCCTTAACAAATAATACAATAAATAAAATTGATAAATAAATAAATACAAAAAGACCAAGAAAAGATGAATGTGGAAGAAGAGAAAGGATGATAGAAAAAAAGAAAGGGGAAAAGGAAAAAGGATCAGAGAAGAACCTATTTGGTAACAAGATTTCCTATTTCAGCCTTCCTCCAATCGCTGATATTTGTTAATTATTCTGTTTTTTCTCTCCAAAAGACAAGTGCTTCTTATTTACATGTGTTTTGCTATGAGGGCCAATTAGACTTACGACTTGAGTGTATCCTAATAGCAATTATTTCCAGCGGACAATCTTACAGTGTGAATCAGAAAAAATGGCACTGTAGTAATAGACCGGTTTATTAGCATATTCAAACTTGTGGATGTTTCCTCCCTAAGGAACTAGCGACAATATCATTAACCTAGTATTATCAATTAATTAATTTATTTATTTATATATTTCTGATATTCATACAGGGTGGCACATATCATCAATTTGGCGGTCTTCCATGAGACCCTGTTTGGTTAGAATATATCAAATATCAGCAGCAAAAAAAAAAAAAAAAAATACACAAGCATATAAACTGGTATATTACAAATTATTTAGTATCCTCATGAAATAACTGATCACTCAAGAATTATTTTTGATCATGTAAAAGAAATATTTAAATGGGATTTTCAATTTAAAAAGAAAATACATTAAGAAACGAAAAAATAATAAAGAACAGATGATAACCACGTATCTAAAATAAAGAAGAAAAAATGATTGAAAAGGTACATGTTTAAATAATCTCATATAACTTAACACGGGATACGGTCCATCGCCTATTGATGTAAGAGAGAGTTTTCAAGTTGCAAACACATTTATATAGAACAGATGCTTATTTCGTTTAGCTGAGTATTCACGGGATGATAATTCACGATTGGCTGCGCAGAGGTCGATATAGGTACATGGGTCAAAACACACTTGCAGTTGAAAGTTTTTCCCGATTAGCAATCCGTTGAAAAACCAACCAAAAGGTTGGAAGGAATTCCATGAATGCTGTGAGCACGAAAATCGATATAGCCTAGCAAAGCTGGGGTAATATTGGAGCGCATTGAGCATCTTGAGTGCTGACTATGTGCGCGATATAAATATTTTTTGTTTGTTGTTGTTGACCAAGACACTTAGGTTGACCTTGGTGCAGCCGAACATGAACTATTATCCCATGAATGTGGAAGCGTCAATAAATACTTGACAAGTACATATCATACACGGTCATAAATATATATCACTCTTAAATACGCATAGGATTTGGCTCTCCTAGAGAATTCGACACCGTTCGGGTGTTTACCCAAGAACAAGTGATGTAAATCAATGTCAAAAAGGTTGAGAAAACCACAAAGTTATCTTTGTTTACCTTTACAAGAACTTACAGTTCCCTTTCATAGTGTTTATGCATGGACCTACTACAAATGGTTTATGCCTACCTCTGGTGTAACAGATCACAGACGAGTGTAGTCACCTGGGCTTTGTTTCGACTGCAGGCAACGTGTAGCGGCGTTAATCGTCTCTCGTTTTGAGAGTCCAGGAGCTTAGGACAAATTTCATCAAGCATTCGGACAATATCGTGATGTCCGTGTCTGCAGGCAGTGTGCATCAATGTCGATTCGTCTTTTGACCTGATATTCAAGAGGTCATCGCAATCACCCGGTTGAGCAACTGAAAGTGATATAAGAAAAAACGTATAGGTGTCGTAGTCCAGTGCTTTAAACACTTGATTGGGGATACAAAGGTCGTGGAGATAGCCATTTGGTCTAATTCCCATTTTTATATAATCTCCAAGAAGTCTATTAACCATTTGGTCTATTGCTAATCTAGTCTAGTTTCCAGTTTGCTAGTTTGACTAATGTCTGGTAATGTTAGACCTGAGTGTCGCATTAGACACGATTGATCATACGATATTACTCGACAGATTGCATTTTGAATTCGGCATATGTGACAAAGCCTTAGAGTGGTTTAAGACTTATCTTTCTGACAGATCTTTCCGTGTTTCAATAACCGGGCCATGTTCAGACATACATCCTCTGAAATGTTTTTCCGCAAGGTTCTGTCCTGGGACCTGTGCTGTTCACGTTGTACGTTAAACTACTAGGAGAAATAATTAGGCGATATGGTATTCAGTACCATGTTTATGCTGATGATACCCAGTTGTATTGTAGTTTCGATCATAAAATATCTAGTAGTCTTCTGGAAGCAATGGGTGTTCTTCATGATTGTATTGCTGAACTAAGTGGATGGATGTCACACACAGGCGCGTACGCAGAGGGGGAGGGGGCGGTTGGGGTTAAACCCCCGTTCATTCTATTTTATGTTTGTGTTTTGTAGGACCCCCCCCCTTCATTTTTATTTATATATTTTTTTTTATGCTAATCGGTGACCTAAAAAAGGTGACCCCCCCCCACACACACACACTTATCCGTTTAGTGCAGTGGGCTCTTAGCGTTTAGAGGTGGAGCCATCCCTCTACACAGGGCCTCCGTGCAATCCCCTATCCGAGGGACTGTGTTTTTTCCACTGTAACATAGCCTAAGTCTTCGAAGCGGGGTAGGGGCACATTAACACACAACGCAAGCTTCAGTTATCCGCCTTGGTTAGATTGGACATGCAGATGCTTTACTGACTGAGCCAAATCGCCACATTCACCTTTTCTTAATTCCACCGAACACTATAGGATCTTCATGCGATCCGATTGTCAAAGAAATTGAAATTAAACTATATCCTGAAATCTAAACGGAAATCTTCTTCCCGGTTATGGTTCTAAATAATGGTATTAATACTAATAACCGGAATTTGAGTGCATTTAAGCCTTCTAGTCAGACAGAAAAAAACAATCGACTTCAGATTCTAAACAGTCGTACTATTGGTCTGACAATATAACGATTCTCAGCAGATTTGGATTTTCCTCATCCAAGGAAGCTTGAAATCCCTTTAATCATATGATTATATTTAGATCAACAATCATTAATAATCTAGAAGTTTGAATGCTTGTTGCAAATGGCATTGCGAATACCTCCAAAATCGAATTTTTACTCAGGTTGCAGTCAGGTCGTAGCTAGGTCGTATATACTCACCGTGTTTCAAGCAGTATGAGACGAGTTCCTTGTCACCGCACCTGACCGCCTCATCGATCACGCTTTGCTGGTTCGCGTTTCGGGCTAACAAAATCTGTTTTTGCAACAAAAGCACAACATTTTCAAATGTGAATGAGATTAATAATGGTGATATCTAAAACGAAACATTGCACAAGAGGCTTGCAAGCAGTGGTGATTCTAATCGGGGTTGGGTTGGATTCTCAAGACTCCCAACGACGCCTCCCCCACGAAAAACGCGAGGCACATGTAGAAAATGAGAGCAAGAGTTATCTATTATCAATTATCAATTAATTAATTATCAATTATACTTGGTAATGCATGGGACATGCCCTGTATTTCCCCTCAATCATACATTGTCAGGTGTACCTTATTTGCTTGGAAGATTGCCCCCTAAAATGGCAAAAACAAAATAAATCTATTAACATGAATAATCAAATCAAATCAAATTAAATCGATATAAAAGCTCTAACCTCTCGCATGTCGTGTAGTTTCTGATTGCAAGTTTCAAGGAATCGAAGGGCATACTTCGCTTGCCCTTTCCTAAGAATGATGTGAAGGGCTGTATCCCTCCGTTTCCCACCACTTGTCAGAGGTTTGGCACCGTGCTTCAGTAGCAGCACGGCATTTTCAAACTGGTCGTTCTGGCATGTGATGTGGAGAAGTTGTGAGATTACTGTTTCGGACTTTACATCTTGCTAGAAAGGAAGATGAATAAAGCACAATGTCCATTGAAATATAACTTAATGTTGCTTAACTTCCACGGAATGCATAATTTATGATAATAATAAATAATGACTTTGTCCGCTTTTTGCGAAATCTGATTATGCCCCATAGCTTGTAGGCCATTGGGGGCGACAATCAGATGGACCTTGAGAGACAGGTTCTTCATTAATTTCTGTCTTAAGCTCGTCCAGTTAGCTGCTCAAATGAAATTCCCGTCCAATGCAATGCATGTCCTATGTTTGATTGGTTTCTGCCACTATGTCTTCTCCCGTTAGTTCCTCCTTGCAAGCTGAAAGACACATCAGTATTCATCAAAGGCTACTACCTGACTCTTCCTCGCTGCGGGCCCTGCTATTATTAGTACCCATTTCGATTGGTGTCGAGAGGCACTATTGTGGGCAGCACGCGTCCAGGGATGTAAACACTGGCCAAGGATCGAACACTGGAATCTTTGTGTTAGAGTGAGGAGCTTTTACCAATAAACCACAGTGCTTCCTCACGATGTATCAGGAAGGTAAATTTGTTTGAAACACCCTTCTGTCAACTTGGGAAAAATATCCTCACACAATGAAGAGGATATAATTTTATTTCAATCCGACAAGAATTGTTGGCATTTTGCTTTTATTACCCTTGATCAACTTTTAACAAACGCACTCAAGAAAGACAGAAAAAAGAAGGAAAACCTTGTCAAATAGACAAAACTATATTTCAATACGTTCATAACATAGGATTTTAAAAGAAACGGAATTCAAGGGAGCAGAAATGTATTTATTAAACTCTAAGGACCTTATTGTTTGTTTGTTCAATTCTTTTTTGTTTTGCCTTTTTCAATTCAATCATCAAATCATTTAATGTTATTTAGTTCAAATATTTTTGTTTGCTAATTCGTTTAATTCATTTAATTGGCTTAAGATAATTAAACAACACAAAACATTATCATTTTGTTATGAAGTACGGCTCTGAACTATAATTATATTTACATCAATCTCTCTGTGTGATAGTAGGGCACGGGTGACCTCGCGTTGACCTTTGACGTCACAAGCTAACTGTAATGGTGTACGGCCATGGTCGTCCTTCTCGTCTGCAAGTACCCGTTCCTTTATCAATAGTTCCACCACTTTTACTTTGTCTTTAACCTGGCAATAAGTACAATTAGAACAATTTACAGTTTCAGGAAGGGATTTATTGAAAGGGCTAAATTGATCGCATGTTGTTTTTCACATTGGCAACAATAACATTTTTGTTTAATTGCTACATTCATATAATGTTGCTACATTCACAAAATTAAATGTGATGTCTATAAAAGCAACATGTATAGGAACTTGGTCAAAACGTAATGTATGAAATTTTAAGTCTGAATGAAATACAATTTGGTAACAGGCGAATGAAATAATTTGTAACCAGGCGTTTAATAAAGATTTATGCATTGAATTTGATTACATTACGAAAATAGTTTAGTCATGGAGTTTGAAATAGTTCCTCCCCATAGAGAATTTTTTTGAGGAAGGGAACTCTTTGTAACTCCATGAATTGACATATTTTAATCGGGTACGCGTGCGCGTGTCACAACTATCTCTCTCAACACGCTATGGGGCTAACTCTCCCTACTTCGGCATAGAGATCGGTGAATCAAATACAACTCCGGTCTCTCTTGCATACCAACAAAAAAGAAAAATGGTGCGTTTAAAGGCAAATCAAAAACATTGAACCAAGTCCCAAATACACGGTTCTGATTTCGGTTGAAAATCAAGTTGCGTTTGATTGAAACTTTGTTTATAGCAAGAGATCCGGCTTAGCTCTGTATATTAACAAAAAAACTTACTTGACCGACGTTCTTGGCTTCTCCTTTGACTGTGAAATGCATAGGTGTTTGTCCATCTTTGCCTGCCACATTAAGATCTAGCAATGAAAAGTGATATCAAACTCTTATAAATAGCATCTCCAGACTTTCTCCACATTGTAGTGCACATTCTCACCTCCATGGTGAGTATTCCACCTTGTCACCTTTTTACAGGCACGCATGGTAACCCAACCCAAATGACGTTCACATCCTACCAGGTACCCGCTTAACATCAGGGAGGAGAAATGTAGATAAAACGCCTTTCTCATGGACATAGTGCCGTGCCGGGGCTCGAACCCGAGACCTTTGCATTTCAAGTCAAGTGATTGAACCACTCAACTACAAAGGCCTCCACAACAATATAAACCAATCCTGGATCCACCACTTGCCAGTACTTAACTTTATGTTTATTGAGATAGGCTTTGGTAGTTTCACGAATGTATGAACTTGAACGATTTACCGGTTGCATGTCGCTTTTCCGATACTCCGAAGCTTCACAGAGGAACGCAGAGTAAGGTTCATAATTCTCAAGGTTTGCATTTACGAAAACTAAAAAGCGTTCGTTAATCGAAAAAAATGAAATGAGGTTTAATATTCAGAATGTTAATATTTTCCAAAATGACATGGAAATTTCTTTTTTGGTATACAAACCTTCGAATTATTTACTTACTTATTCATTTACTTTTCCATACTAATGAACCCTGTTTCATTTTCGAATTTATGAACCCCCTGGTATGGGAAAGTCGTCTTTCATAATGCCGAGCATTCGGGAAAATGAATCTTCGGGAACAAAACGAACCAGTCCTTCGGAATAACGAACCTTCGGAAAACCGAGCCTACGGAAAAGCTCGTGTTTCCCTATTTACCTGCTCCGTTCTCTATGAGAAGTTCTACCCAGGGTACGAGAGCCTTGGCACAGGCATAGTGGATCACGCTGTTTCCCGCTGCGTCTGTATGCTTTATCGCTTGACTAATTTCATCAGGGGTGCCTTCTGAGAGGAGGTCCTTGGCCTTATCGATGCTGGGGTTTTCGGCTTTCACGAGCTAGGATCAACAGAATGATAATAATAACAATAATAATAATAATAATTGTATCTTCTCCTTTGTTGTGCAAGTTCGAACAATAAAGTGATGTTTAAAATATATATATATATATATATATATATATATATATATATTAAAACAATTAATAATAATAATATTGGATATTATAAAAATAATAAAATAACAAGAATAATAATTAAAATGGTTATGATAATGAACATAACAATTGATAGAAGTGATGATGATAATAATAACAGTATCAATTACGATTAAAGTGAAAATAATACAAAATAATGATAACAATAATTATTTCTATTTATTTAATCGACACGTTTAAAGAAAATGCGCTTTACAATATTGTTATTAGCAGAAAAGGGTGAGTTTTGAGATGCTTTTAAAGGTATTAAGTTTTAGCTAGTTATGGGGATATATCGGTAGTTTATTCCACAGTTTTGGAGCTGCAGTTGTGAATGCTCTGTGTGAGCGTGTGCGTTTGGATGCTCTCACCTCAGCATTCTTGTGGGGTTTTATGTGCGCTTCACATACCCCTTGTGAGGCATTTTTACTTTGTGGGGTATTTTTTCAGGACCCCACAGAGTAAAGTCTTTCAAATGACTGTATATTCGGTGTCCTATGCCCTGCGGGGCATTAGAAGTGGTACCCCATAAATGACATTTTGTGAGCGTGTGCTAAAACTTGCACACTTTTTTATGGTAACATCGTAAGCACACCGCCGGGTTGTTATCGCCAGGTTGTACATACCCCACTAGTAGGGGACCACAAGGTATATCTGGAACGCACAGAAATACCCCACAATCAGGTGCCCCACAAAGGCCCTGATGTGAGAACGTGTGTATTTTGGTGTGTGTGTGTGTGTGTGTGTGTGTGTGAAAGAATCCGAGGACTGCGATATCTAATGCGTTAAAAGTGATTTTCCTGTTCTTGCGTTGTTTTTTGTTTTAATGTTGTTGCTGTTATTGTGATGTTGCTGCTGTCTTTATTCCACTGTCTTGTAGGTCCCGTCCGGTAATGGTAAGGACCCACTAATTGCAGTCGCACGTGAGATGCCATTTTGCCTTACGCAAGACTCCGTCAGCGACTGACACGGTGTGATGCTCGTATTAGTATTAACGCAATCGCAGTGACGCCTCGGGTGAGATATTATTGTAGATGATCATGCTAATTGGGTAAATAGTCGTTCGTGAAGTAGGTAACTTTGCGATCACTACATAAAACTGAGCTAACGGGTATTAAGCTCCCGTGGGTACGTCCGTGAGCTGCCCTCTATATACCCACGCATGAGCAACTTTAATACCGAGAAATTCAAATCGTCGGTCAGTTTGGAGTAGGTTAGGAATCGGTTTGGATTCGGTTCAGCGATGTAACTAACCACGCGTTGTGTATTTAGACAGGTTTAGTATCCGGGCAATTGCTTTCATGAAATATTTCAGAACCTTCATTCTGGTCAATATCTTCAATAACAAATATTATGGGTGATTAGTCATTTTGATATGCTAAACGTGACAACTAAATATCGGGACACGGTCTCCCACCTCCTACCCTTCCCCCCCTTCCCTCCGTCCCTTAATGAGATCTTCCTTCACTTTTGCAAATCTATCACGCCGATTTTTCTTCATTTGTTTGTTTGTCTTTCAAATACAATGACTTACCTTTAAAAGCGACTTTCCGCGAATTCTTTTCACCAAGGGGGGTACTGTCCTCGGCGATCCGGACTCCGAACAAGTTGTGATGCGGCTTGGCGACCCAAGCACCGGTTCCGGTTCGGATTCGGAAAATGAACTGCCCTCATCGATAAACAATTCGTCGTAGAAGGGGCTAATTATCGACTCATTATCACTGGAATCGGACAAGGTGCCTTGTTCATCCAGTGGATAACCGGATCGGAGTCCACGGATGACGGTTTTTTGCCATCTACTCATCTTAACGGCTTTGGTCACTAAGATATAAGTTAAAATAAAAGTAAAATAAATAACGTTAAATATAATAGACCAGACAACGGGACTCACCGTGTTTTAGCGTGCGACGTTTCACGTCAACTCGGGGATTCTTTTCATGCCGACCGGTCGTTGGCGGCAAATGGTTGTTGATCCGACTATCTATTTAGTTACTTACGACTTGTAAGATGAAACACTCTTATCAACACGAGCGTTGTTTTTTTTTTTTTTTTTTTTTTTTGGGGGGGGGGGGGGGGGTGAACATAAATAACCCTACACAGAGCAGTAGGGGCATTTACACTTTCTTCCAAACACGCCACAAAATGCCAAACCGGAGCTTGACCGCTCCACCAAGGGCAACTACGCTTTACCGGCAGAAATGCCAAGCCCGAAACATTCCAAAACGAAGTGTGATCTTTTGGCGTGTTTTGGCGTGTTTGGCAAGGATGAACGCTCGCAGTTGTAACATGGTGATGTTGGGTCACGCGACTTTAGGATCGGAGCTAGCTGTCGTCATTGAAGAAAATGGTAGAACGATATAAACAAAGAATAACATACGAGAAGGTGATAGAAGGAAGAAACAAAGAATAACATAAGAAGATATAGAAAGAGGAAGTGATAGAATGATAAAAAACTAAAATAACATAAGAGAAGGTGATAGAAAAAAGAAACAAAGAATAACATAAGGAACACAGAAAGAGAAAGTGATAGAATGATCAAAAACAAAGAATAGCATAAAAGAAGGTAATAGAAGGAAGAAACAAAGAATAACATAAGTAAACACAGAAAGAGGAAGTGATGGAATGATAAAAAAAACATAGAAGAACATAAGAGAATGTGATAGAAGGAAGGAACAAAGAATAACATAAGGAAACACAGAAAAAGAAAGTGATAGAATGATAAACGAAAAAACACGAAGAATAACATGAGAGAAGGTGAGAGAAGGAAGAAACAAAGAATAACATAAGAAAACATAGAAAAAGGAAGTGATAGAATGATAAAAAAACAAAGAAAAGCATAAAAGAAGGTGATAAAAGGAAGAAACGTAGAATAACATAAGGACACACAGAAAAAGGAAGTGATAAAATGATTTTAAAAAAAATCAAAGAATAACATAAAAGAAGGTGATGCAATGAAGAAACAAAGAATAACATAAAGAAACACAGAAAGAGGAAGTGATAGAATGATAAAAAACAAAGAATATCATAAGAGAAGGTGATACAGAAGGAAGAAACAGAGAATAACATAAGGACACGCAAAAATAGAAAGTGATAGAAGAAAGAAACACAGAATAACATAAGGAAAGACAGAAAGAGAAAGTGATAGAATGATTTTAAAAAAAAGAATAACATAAGAGGAAAGTTTTTGCATCGGAGTGCCGCGCATGCGCATTACCAACTAAAACACGCTAAAACATCACTGAGCTTTTCAGTCGGTGTTTTTTTACCATAAACGCGACTTTTCAAATGATGGATTTGCAGGCGCGTACGCAGGATATTTTTCAAGGGGACGGGGGAGGGATAAAAGGACACTTTTTTGGGGGAGGGGGTAAGGTCAACTTCTTTAGGTCAGCCATTGGTATAATTTTTTTTTTTAATGAAAAAAAAATATATAACAAAAAAAATACCTCTAAAATAAACACATAAAAAATACCAAAGGGGGGGGGGTTCAACCCCTAACCCCCCCCCTTGCGTACGCGCCTGGGTAATTGACAGTATAAGTGCGCCTAGTGGCGAGAAGAGAATCGGAGTCAAGGAACTCTGGGAAATTGTAATGGATCTCCCAAACCTCCGAAATAAAAGCTCCGGCTAAATTGTGCCGCAGGCCCCCTCTTTTGATTGCAGATGGCTTCTCCCTTTTCACATAAAGATGATTATTAATAAATGAGATTTGTTAAGCTTTCTTTTATTGAGTTTGCTGGTTTGTTCTCTCTCTCTTTCTAGATACTGAGAAAATGTTCTTTGCGGATTATATGGGGAAGTTATTTCACGGATACGATGAGGGTAAACATTGATGGTGATATATAAACAAATTATTATAGGCCTATTTAGAGGCCCAGATGAATCATCGCTTTACCTAACTATGGATCCAAAGATATCATCGCTTTACCTAACTATGGATCCAAATATATCATCGCTTTACCTAACTATGGTTCCAAAGACATCATTGCTTTGCCTAACTATGGATCCAAATATATCATCGCTTTGCCGAACTAAGGATCCACAGATATCATCGCTTTGCCTAACTATGTATCCAAAGATGTCATCGCTTTACCTAACTATAGATCAACAGATATCATCGCTTTGCCTAATTATGGTTCTAAAGACATCATTGCTTTGCCTAACTATGGATCCAAAGATGTCATCGCTTTGCCGAACTAAGGATCCACATATATCATTGCTTTGCCTAACTATGTATCCAAAGATGTCATCGCTTTACCTAACTATAGATCAACAGATATCATCGCTTTGCCTAACTATGGTTCCAAAGACATCATTGCTTTGCCTAACTTTGGATCCAAAGATGTCATCGCTTTGCCGAACTAAGGATCCAAAGATGTCATCGCTTTGCCGAACTAAGGATCCACAGATATTATCGCTTTGCCTAACAATGGTTCCAAAGACATCATCGCTTTGCCGAACTAAGGATCCACAGATATTATTGCTTTGCCTAACTATGTATCCAAAGATGTCATCGCTTTACCTAACTATAGATCAACATATATCATCGCTTTGCCTAACTATGGTTCCAAAGACATCATTGCTTTGCCTAACTATGGATCCAAAGATGTCATCGCTTTGCCGAACTATGGATCCAAAGATGTCATCGCTTTAAACTGTGGAACCAAATATATTATCGCTTTACCTAACTATGGATCCAAAGATCATCGCTTTACCTAACTGTAGATCAACAGATATCATCGCTTTACCTAACTATGGTTCCAAAGACATCATTGCTTTGCCTCACTATGGATCCAAAGATGTCATCGCTTTGCCGAACTAAGGACCCAAAGATATCATTGCTTTGCCTAACTATGTATCCAAATATGTCATCGTTTTACCTAACTATAGATCAACAGATATCATCGCTTTGCCTAACTATAGTTCCAAAGACATCATCCCTTTACCTAACTATGGTTCCAAAGACATCATTGCTTTGCCTAACTATGGATCTAAAGATGTCATCGCTTTAAACTGTGGAACCAAATATATCATCGCTTTACCTAACTATGGATCCAAAGATCACCGCTTTACCTAACTATAGATCAACAGATATCATCGCTTTGCCTAACTATGGTTCCAAAGACCTTATTGCTTTGCCTAACTATGGATCCAAAGATGTCATCGCTTTGCCTAACTATTGTTCCAAAGACATCATTGCTTTGCCAAACATTCCAGAGGGCTCACCTTCCATGGGCAGTGGCGTAATAATCAAAAACGTTTGGAAGGGGGGCTGAAGAAAAATCTGCGTCACCACCACTCGTACACGTTACATGCATGCCCCACGGAACGTTTTTGCAAAGTGGAGTATTAACGATCAGGTAAAGCGTAAATTGGCATGGGGTCCAGGCCCTGACATGAAGGCTTCTAAATAAGTATATATTTCGCCCGAGTGTAAATTTGGGAATTTCTAATTTTCCAACAAACGCATTAAAAAAGTATGACTTACACAAAAAAATGAGAAAAAATACCGGGAAATCATGTCATTTCAGCAACATTTGTAAATCACTGGTATCGAATAAGAAATGACCCCTCCTCCCATCAGTACGCCAGCGTTCAGGGGCTCATGTCTTCTCACCCCTATAACAACAAAAAAATACACACGCTTACCCATCCTCTCACAATATTTCCTCGATATGCGCGTATCGCTAATATAAAAACATCCATCGATAGATAAAGCTTGCATGCGGAATGTTTAGGAAATTTAATTCCTGTTACCTTTTCTTTTCTTTGAATGGAATTTTATATGTGATTTATTATCATTGTTATGTCCTTTTGGGTTAAAAATACAAACCATCTTTACTCCTTTACTGATTTTTTTATTAAGGGGGGGGGGGCGTTTTGGGGGGCAAAAATGCGTTTCTCCCCCCCCCCCCCCCCCCCCTGCCACCCCACTTCCGGCGCCTACGAGAAGCCTATTGAAATTTATAAAGGGAGAAACCTGTTAAGGTTTCGATTCCCTTGGGACCAATTAATTCCAACACAACATTTAGATAAACCACAGACAGTGTATTTGTAATTCAATACGTACTACTTCAATACGAAATCTAAATGAGTGGAAGGTAAGTTCAATCTAGTTTCATTTTCGATTAAACCCAGACGGTGTGTATCCGGACAGGTTGTGGATCCGGATGGTTGATTGAAAACAGCGATTTAAATAATCTTTTAAAGAATTGTGTCGGAAATTTATAGAGGGCACACAGTCAGAATTAATAGTGCTATTTCATGTATATTTTTCGTTAAATGCGAAGACAAAAATGCATTTTTGTTTGTAAAGTGTCCCCACACCCGTCCCATCATAAGTTCCAGACAATGCTACAAGCCTGTTGTGTTCAGCATGCCATCATACACGGTCCATTGACCATGCATTGAGTTAATTCTTTGTAACAAGGACCAAGATTTTATTTATATTTTACACTTTAGTTTCTTTTGTCTATTTTCGGAAATCTTTTTTTCTCCATCATTTGAATAATTTTGTCCAATTAATCAATTGTTATAGCACTGTAAAGTCATATTTAACTCATGTGAGTTATTGCAGGGTTTCATTTTCTTTCTAAAGTGCAGGAAATGTTTGGTTTCCTTTTAAAGGGACTCTGTTACATTGCCTCAGATTCTGAAACAAAATCCTGAATTTAGCTCATGCTGCAATCATAATAACACATCTTTACGTCAATCAGGAATCCCATGACTTTTACAAGCCGATTACAAGAGATTTTTTAAAAACTTTTTTAAGGCACTTCATGATCATTTTGAAGCGCATTTTTGTTAGGGCTTCAATATTCCACCATACCACAGAAAGTGATAACACGTAGGGCCATGCATCTCAGGATTAACATTGTTAAACGATGCTTCTAACAGGGATTTTTTTTTTTTTTAAACTCATTCAGCTGGTTTCATTCTAGACGAAATAATTCATTGTGAATGTGTTACCATTATTATAAAAGCATCATAATTGTTCAACAATGTTATGTAGCACAGCATCACCATGAGGAAATAATCCATATTGCTTAAGGTAGCAAAGAAGCAAAGTCCTTATTCCTGATGACCAGGGCAGGAAGCATTTGGTTTCCTTTCAACGGGAATGAATTGCATTTATTTATACCAATCTCCTGACAGTTTTATTATCTGCAAATATTCGCTGGTACAATAGCTGAGTATCTCTGGAAAAATAATGAAAATTTTGTATTTCTGGTTTCATTTTCAAGATTGATGTTGTGCATTTTTGTTGTTGAGTGTGTGTTAGCTGCCTCCACCTCCCTCTCTATTCCCATACTCAAGGTGTTGTGGTCCAGCGGATAAGTTACCGTACTAAGAATCAAAAGATAGGGATTCGAATTCCCGATACGAGACTAATGTCCTTTGCTAAGACATTAATCTATATTTGAGACACTAGACCCAGGTGAAGAAAACGGGTACCTTGTAGAAATAATAGAAAAATTTCACCTTGATTGCAAACAACTCTAGAGGAAAGCAGACAAATCAGAGAAGTAGACTGGTGAAAAATTGAATGAAATCGTTCTAAAGACGATAAAGTTATCAATGTTTTGAAAGTTGTAAACAATAAAGGTATAGCTTCTTTTCAAATTAGCCAAATCCCTGTGATGTCGAGGCAGACAACTTTTCCATAAGCTCCAGCACCCAAAGGGGCACTTACCATAGGTGAAAATTGGCATTTAAAGGGATCGTTTAACAATGTTAACCCGTTGACTACTGAATTATCTAATTCCCATAGGCTTAACAAAGGGACCACCAGGTTCCAGTGAGCAATGGGTTAAATCTGAGACACACGGTCCTACGTGTTACCAGTGTCTGTGATATGGTGTAATATTGAAGCCCTAAAAAAAAAATCGCGCTTCAAAATGATCAAGAAGTGCCTCAAAAAAGTAAAAATCTTCGAGTGACCGGTTTTACCACACTCGTTTTTCCCAGTAGACTGTAGTGCTATGAAAACCGTTTGGCGAACGGTTTTCAAAAATTGTAATTTCAATCATTAATATCTTGATAATCAGACAGGCGATCGGCTTGTAAAAGTAATGGAGATCCTGACTGACCTAAAGGTTTATAATTATCATTGCAGCATGGGCTAAATCAAGGATATTATTTCTAAAGGATCTAAGACAAAGTTAGCGGATCCCTTTAAAAGAAAAGGAAGGGGTTTTTATTACAAAGGGGGAAAAGGCGCTTACCAGGAGGGAAAAGTGCACTTATTAAAAAGGAAAAGGGGCACGAGTCAAACAAAAATTGGCAAAAATATCAGAGGTGAAAAGGGGAATTTCTTGCAACTGAAAAGAGGCATTTATCAGAGGTAAAAAAGGGCACTTATGAGAAAGGGAAAGTGGCACTTATTATAAAGAAAAAGGGGTACCTGTCAGATTTTAATAGTGGCAATTATCAAAGGTGGTAAAGAATACTTCTCGAACTTGAAAAGGGGCTCTTACCAGAGATGAAAAAGGGCACTTATGAGAATGGAAAAAGGACACTTATTGCAAAGGAAAATGACACTTTTCAGATTGTAATAGGGGCATTTATCAGGGGTGACAAGGGACATTTATGAGAAAGTGAAGGAGATCTTATGACAAAGTGGGGCACTTATCACAAGGACAAAGTGCACTTATTATAATGGGAAGGGGCAGTTCTTACAAAGGAAAATGGGCACTTGTCTTATGTAAAAAGGGGAACTTTGGGAGTACTTTTCACCCCTCCCCCCATCCAGAGGGCCGACTCTGAGTAGTAATAGTAGTATTAGTAGAAGTAGTGGTAGAAACAGTAGTAGGAGTATAAGTAGTAGTAGTAGTAGTAGTAGTAGTAGTAGTAGTAGAAAGAGTAGTAGGAGTAGTAGTAGTAGTAGTAGTAGTAGTAGTCTCTAACATGTAGCGTTTTTTCTGACGCAATCCTACGTCAGACAAAATAACGAATCGAGTGCAGATAACATCCTCCTCGCATGGCGCTTCAACGGCCGCTCGAGTCACTGGCGCAGTCGTATGTCAACAAATGACGACTTTACGCAAATAACGCCGCATGTGCAGATAAGATCACTACCAAATGGCGCACAAATGGTGCGCTAGTCGACGACGCAATCCTACGTCAGTAAATGGCGACATGTTTGTAACTTGCATTACAGTTAGTTGGCGCGCTAAGGCTGCACTAAGTTGCTGACGCTGTACTATGTCAGGCAAATGATGCCTCGTTCTCAAAGGGGCATTTGTGAACATTACCTGTGATTACGTCTCCGAGCCTCAGCAAAACTTCTAAATTTCTTCGACAATCTTCTGGCGTAGTGTCTAATCGAACGACGCCTAGCTTGAAATTTGTTAGTTTCGGCCACCTTTCTCCTACTTTCACTTCCACCTGACCTTTATTTGATGTAAAATTACTGATGACGAAAACAAAAAGGCTTGCGATTCTTCCCTCATGGTTCACAAAATGCAACTTATAATCCTCAGCACTCGCGTTTTTATAGACAATTTTGGAATCACAACAATCCAACTAGTATCTGTCATTGTATTTTCATTTTCGATTTTGATGTTGTGGGCGGATAACTCGTCCAGGCAAGCATAAACCGTGTGCAAATATCACATTATGAAATTGATCACATGTTTCACCGGATATTTCTTGTATCACATGACTTTGTTTTGAAATATCAATTTTGTCATTTTGTCATGTTTGTTCCCCAAACTACTGTGTCCTGGTGACCTTTGTTTATCGTTCCTTTAGGAATATAGTTTGTTGGTTAATATTTGCATATCACTTGCGGATATTTATCCACGTATTAGCCGTGATCGACACTACAGAGATCACACTTTAAAGAAATGCATTTTATACCAACTTGCGAAGTTTCTAATTCCTTGTCATACACGGAACGCCTGTCTCGCCTAAACATGCCTCCTCTGTGTAACAGACTTGTGTACTTCATTTTGTAATTAAATGCTTACACAGACTTTATGACATGCCTGAACATATGCTACCAGTCCCAAGTCACAGAAGAATCCATACATACACTTGTTTTCAATCATGAATTAGCAAGATGCAATAGCTTGAGATTTTCTTGTTTTTATGTTTTCCCCAGATTTTGGGAGCACCTCTCAGAGGAAGACAGAGACTTGTTTTTTGGCACCAATGTCTTTTCTTTTATGAATGTGCTCCGGAATTTCCTCTTTGAATTGCCTCCCCTTGTAGAAGCATACTAATTTGTGTTTACACTCTTTTCTCCATCATAGAATAACTCACAATTTGATATGTATTATTGATTTTTTAGTGCGTATGTTGTTATTATTGAGTTCGTATTGAATGTACGTTCTCGTTCTCTATCAATGTGTTCTATCACGTCCTTTTTAATTTGATTCCTATGTTTTTCAAATTTTTCTATGAATCAATAATAATGTTCCTCAATTTTGATAACTTCCAATCATACCAATAATGATTTTCCATAATTTGGATAACTTTCAATCATATTAATAATAATGTTACACAATTTGTTACTAACTTCCGATATTACCGTATCCATATGACTGTATAAACATACAATTTTCTGCATTTAGCATGCATTTATCATACTTGCATAGTTTGAACAGCTCTTTTTTTCAATCCTTTTTTATAATAATCCCAACAGTAATTGATCTACATGTATATTACCGTTTACAAGAACACACATTTTGCTGTATTGATGTATCAATTTTAGTATGAATAGATTATTTTAAATTAGTATATAAAATAAAAGTATTTGTTTCTGATCTACCTTATATGTGCCGAATATGAGGGTTAATTTTAGTTACACATCCATGTATATGTTTACCTTATCTTTATATTTTGCTTTATGTATGCACCAACCAATGTGGAGAGTCTCTCGACAGAATTTTAAAATTCTTTTGGGTGATCCCCAGGCATTGGCTGGTGATAAATATCATACTGTCCGTTCGTTCGTTCGTGTCTCCTTAGATCAAGATTACTACGTCCCTTCATACAGTCCAATACGGTTCATACTGTCAATGTCCAATCATTTTGTCAACCCTCTGGTGTTTTCTATGTATTGTTATCATCTTGCCTGGAAATAAAATAAATAAATAATATAAATAAATTACAATTTTGAGAATATCTGCTCTCCAAATGATGATTTCCAGACCTTTATCGGTTAATAATTAAGTGAGGCTTAAGTTAATAGTTCTTCGAAACGGATGCAATAAAATTGACTGCAAAATTTGCCGATCTGTTGTCAATATTTTCAAATTTCGCACCCAATTCCAAAGAAAATATTGTCTCTTGGTAATTTCATGTTCTATGCAGATTTTTGGAGATAGCGAAATTAGGTCAAGCGAAATATGGTCACACCACCATATCTGTCATTATTTTTTCATTTACGATTTTGATGTGGTGGGCGGATAACTTGGCCAGGCAAGCACAAAAAAACGTGTGCAAATATCATATTATGAAAAATAATCACATGCTTCACCGGATATTTCTTATATCACAAGATTTTGTTTTGAAATATCAATGTTGTCATTTTGTCATGTTTTGTCCCAAAGTACTGTTTCCTGATGACCTTTGTTCAGCCTTTCTGTGGGATATGGTTCGTTGGTTAATATTAAATATTACTTGAGGATATTCATCCACGTATTAGCAGTGTTGGGCACTTCATAGATCCCCTAGAAAATAATTGTATTTGAACCCCACCCCCTCCTTCATCCTTTAAGACCTTCGCACAATAGTTTATGTCTCGAAATTTGTGTCGCTCCTCTGTTTCTAAAATTCCTTGATCCGCCGCTTCTTGAAGTGAAATCCATATGGTGTAATATATATATTGTACCTCAGCCAATCACATCGTCTGACTTGCTCCATGCACATCGACTCCAAACTGGCTGATTCTTATCAAGTCGAGGTAATGCAATTGACATCCAGTTTGCTATCGATCTCTTGGCGTTCTGTATTGCATACATTAGTTGTCGCTAAGTATATAGGACAAATGTTATGGCTCGTCCTACCGAACAGCATTGAATGTGTGCACTTCGTAGTCTGACTATTACGATACAATTTTTCGTAACAGGTGAATGAAATAATTAGTAACGAGGCACTTCAAAAATGGTTTGTGCATTATATTTTATTACATTACGAAAAGGACACATTCGACGAGCCTCATCGTGAGGGCGCTCTGTCATGTCAACGGACCTTTCAAAACCAGTACTCTTCCCAATGTTTCTTTGTGTTATGATTTTACCTGTATAAGCCCTTTGTGCTATACGACGTTTCTGTATAAGAACTTTCCTGTAGTCTGAAAAGGCCATTCAATCCGGCCGTGCGTGTTAGAGAAGTCTGAAGTTTCAAAAATGATTATTGACCTATGAAAGTAAGATTATTTGATGTTAATCGCAGATCCACTCCTCGTAGCTTTCTTCCCCGTACTTGTCGTATTCAACTGGCATTATTTAGAAAAATGGATAATATTCAAAACGACCATTTTCACTATTATTTGTATTTTGTAAGTTTATTTTGCACACGTCAGTTAAATGCAACATTATCAGGCAATCTAGGTTATGCTAGGAACTGATGGTCCTTACTTGTTGTTGTTGTTTCTTGTTTACGTTTGATTTTGTATTAAAACTAAAATACAACTTTCATTTACTTTCATATTTAGGAGAATTTCATCTTTTGAATTTTCTAAACTTTGCTTCTAAAGGCGCTTAGTATTCCACATAATTCGAAATCCAAACTCCAATCCTGGACACGAAACCAGCAGCGAGAGGAATGGGATGAACATGACAATGATATATTACGTAATCCGAAAGAAAGATTCACTAGGAAGCACCATAAGGTACTTCAGTTCATTTTTTGAAAATCTTTACCATCAGGTTCCAGTCAAAGCAGACCAGAAATATTCGATGAAAGTAATTCTCTTCGATTTCATTATTATTTTATTATGTTTCTCACTCCAAAGCCACAGATATGTGGTATTTTGATAATCAAATAAAACGTTTCGAATGTGGGTGACAGAGATAAATTGGTTAACGCACTGTTGATGGTTTTAGGAAATAAACGTTTATCCAAATAATAACCTCGTGTACCTACGTATTGATTGAAGTGAAAACCATATGGTGTGGTATATATTGTATCTCAGCCAATCAAATCGCCTGACTGGCTCCATGCACATCGACTCCGAACCGACCGATCCATGTCCATTCGAGGTAATGCATTTTATAACCAGTTTGTTATCGATCTCTTGGCGTTCTTGTCGATGTGACTAGTTTTAACACTCAACGAAAATCACGTAATAAAGTCCGATAACTGCTGCATACCGATTCAAAAGCAACTGAAGATATGTGGTATTTTGATAATCAAATAAAACGTTTCGAATGTGGTTGACAGAGATAAATTGGTTAACGCACTGTTGATGGTTTTAGGAAATAAACGTTCGTCCAAATAATAACCTCTGGTACCTACGTATTGATTGAAGTGAAAACCATATGGTGTGGTATATATTGTATCTCAGCCAATCAAATCGCCTGACTAGCTCCATGCACATCGACTCCGAACCGACCGATCCATGTCCATTCGAGGTCATGCATTTTATGACCTGTTTGTTATCGATCTCTTGGCGTTCTTGTCGGTGTGACTAGGTTTAACACTTAACGAAAATCACGTAATAAAATCCGATTCAAAAGCAACTGAAGATATGTGGTATTTTGATAATTAAATAAAACGTTTCGAATGTGGTTGACAGATATAAATTGGTTTTCGCACTGATGATGGTTTGACGAAATAAGCGTTTTTTCAAATAATAACCTCTTGTACCTACCTAGTGATTGAAGTAAAAATCATATGGTGTGATATCTATTGTATCTCAGCCAATCACATCTCCTGACTGGCTCCTACCACTCCACGAAAATAAAACGTAATAAAAGCTGATAACTGCTGCATACCGATTCAAAAGCAACTGAAGATCTAACGTCCTGCAGTAGTACAACATTCCTCTCTTTACCCAAGGACAATTTTCAGGTAATATTATTTCTTCTGTTTTTAGTTAGTTACACTTGTTTGTTACTTATTTATGTCCAATTTTGTTCAATGAAATACGATTTTATGTGTTAACTGGAAAAGAATTATACCTTTAGCTTTTGTATACACTCATTATTTTGTTTATTGAAATGTTTTATTTGTCAGACAATAAACACAAACAAGTACAAAGTATGTGTTACATTTGTTTTGTTTAAAATGAACAGGAATGCTCATGTACACATATATGAACTTAATTGTAATTCATTTTAACTCAATATATTATCTTACATTAATCATTTATTAACAGAACATAAGACAAACATAAGGGAACTCGTATTCCTTTAAAGGTACTATGTCCCTTTTGCAGCCAACATCAAATTCTGTAGAACTTTGCAGGAATTATGAACATGTTATGTACGTCCTATCTGTGAAATTTAAACTTGAGCAGTATCCTAATATTCAATTTATGCAAGGAAACTCGTTTACTTGCTAGACTTCACTGTCAAACACTTTTGAGTGACAGACTGGCTTTTATCATCTTTGGTAATAACATACGTATTAAGCGAGCTGTAAAGGGTACATGAACACTTGTCTACATCAATAACCCACTTCTTGTAATGGCCAAAATTATACTGATTGAATCTTTGCGCAGCATAAAACGTACGACCATTCGGTATGATCTGAAAAATCAGACTATTACTTACTGGCTCTGTAGCTCCTAAGTCGATTCGACAACGAATAGTCGTTATTTTCCCACTGAAAGACATGTTCAAGCCCCCTTTTCTTTTCATAGGGAAGTTCTGAATTAGTATTATCTTTCAAATGCCGTTGGAATTTATCCTTTTCATTTTTTGGGGCCTAGAGGGTTAACACCCTTCTGGCTCTAGTGTGACCTTACATCATGTTGGAAACATGATGACGAATGAAAATAAATAAACAACGTATTAAATAAAAGTACAGTTACATTTGCATTACATAAAGACTACTCAAAGGATGCGATAAAATGGTATTTATGTTAATGTGGCCTACCTTATGTATTCAAGGCCCTTAAGGAAGATCCGATGTCAAGTTCGTAGATAACTTTTAGCTGGACAGGGACTGATACTCATGCATTAACTTTGCATTAATTCAGGAACTCTTGGCATTAATTGTCCAAATAACGAACTGGCCCTGCGTACGAAAGAAGCGCACGAACGACAATGTGGAACGACCTTATTAAAGAGCATGATTTAATAAGAAATACTACCCCAAGGAAACAAACCGTGATCGTAATAAAGACAGGTGGTTTTTCGTTCCAGGTGTTCGGGGACGTGGGGATTGTTTAAAAAAGACTGAGATCGACTTAAAGTTTTACTTACATATGACAGGCCGTTCATGTCACTGTTTGCTCTAATCATTTATTGGCGTATGTTTCTCAAGGGACGTACAAATAATGGTCACAAATCTACAGAATTTAAATTCATTATCAAAGGAAAAAATACTATCTAAAGATGAATGGTGAGAGCAAACAGTGGCATGAGCGGCCTTGCTTTAATTTAAGTCCAACTTAAAGTCGATCTTAGTCTTTGTGAAACACCCCCCCCCCCCTCCCCGGTTTTAGAGACGCATATGATTAGCATCGAGACCGTTTACCCGACAACAGAAAAAGCCTTCACGTTATGCTCTGCATTTCCCCCATCCATTTCCTCAAATGAAAAGGTCATTATCTTACTTTTGCCCGCGCCTGAAGATTCGCCTAGAGATGAGGGGCATTTCTTGAAAGGCCTACTGCTTTGCTGTGTGCAGACTTATACACAAATTATTTAATTAATATAAGCCTTCTGCACATGGAAACTGACAACCCACTCCATTTAATGTATCTGTCTTCCACAGTTTCGAGCAATTGCAGTAATGGCATCAAAGACTGTTATCAGTATGCTACTTCTACTCGCTGTTGTAGTTACAGCCAGTGCTTCTCTGGAAACTCAAGGCGATTCTGCGGTTGTCCGCGATATCCTCCTTAGCGAAACCGACTTTCAGGAGCCTGCGCCAGATATGCTGAATGTGGAGGAGACTCAATTTAAATTTAGTAAGTAGTCTGCAGGTACAAACCCTTTTCAGTCAAAGTACGTAAGCCTAAGGGGGACTTTTAGATTTGCACGACGAGAACGTGGACTGCTTCGTGAACATCCTTTTAAGGCAATGTGACGTAATTTTAAGGCAATGCCGGGCAGATTGCTAGTGCCTGACAGTGCCTTAAAAGGAAATAAAACAACATGTGTTGCAATGAGGGTTGGGGAAGGGGGTCTTCTTAAACTCGACGTGTACTTCAGAATAGGTTTTGCTAGGGGCAGATGCTTTTAATATGAACGTTCTCACAATATTCTTTGTTATTACGGAGGCGCAATAGCTCAGTCGGTTGAGCAGTGGTCTCGTAATCCGGTGACCCGGGTTGGAAACCAAGTCGATGCGCTATTCCCCTTTGGTAAGGGATTTATCCTAATTACCCGGTCCCCCGAAGAAGACCTAAAGCTGTCGGTCTTCTGGTTGCTTACTAACAAGCATTTATTTCTTTCTTAGCTGCCAGGTAAAATAACCACCACCACCACTATATTTGCATATTTGTTTTAATTCATTACTAGTTCATTTAAATATTCTATATCTTGCGTATATATATTTTTAAAAAGGAATCTAACGAATTGATACGAAAGTGAAAGGACGATGTAGTTTTATTCTCTGATATTTGTTTGATTCAAGAAATGTGATTTTATTATTCTCCATATGCCACACTCGACCCAAGTGAGGTTAATGGATACTTGGCTGGACTTTATTGGTTTAAATGCTAGAGCACCATACTTGCAGTCATGCTGAAGCCGGCATAATAATCGACACTGTGGAGCGTCATAGGTGTCAAAGCTTACAAATATGTCATACGAGAACCCGCGATGGTTATTAATGTTATTACTTTTATCATTATTATCATTCATGTTTTAATCATTATTTATATAACTAGTGTTATTATTATTATTGTTATTAATATTGCAATTATTACTTTACATTTTCTTTCAGAGTGCAGGATAGGCGGTATAGTATTCAACTGCTAAACAAAGTAAGTACAATATTGTAAAACGAACCACACTTGCTTTCATCTTGTGAGAGAATACTATTCAACATACTTTTTCAAACTTTGAAAGTCATACTGTACTAGAAACACCTCCTAAAACCCCTCTAGCGCCCTCCCAGGTCAGCTGTAGCATTACTGTCCCGTATAAGGGAGTTTACAGATACAATCTGCGCGTGGGCAGATAAAGGTCATTTGTATCAAAAAGGTAAAAACCACAGAGATGAATAATGGATATGCGCTCATGAAAGTTATGTAACATTATTCATTTATGCACCAACGGTACATTGTATGATACGCAGGTGGAAGTATTATTTTCAAGAGGGCAAACAAAAGGTATTCTAGAAGCACATCTAGGACTTTGGCAGTTATTATTCTAATATGCTCAGAGTGGAACTTCTCCATGTGTAAAAGATATGTGGGTATTTGGGGTCATTTGTATCATGTGCTATCTGTAAACTCCCTTATTGCTGTTGGTTGTTGCATCGTGCCCCTAATTGTCTGCGATGTGGACATTAGATATTGGGCTTAGCACTGAAAGCAAGTTAGCCATGAGATGGCAATAAACAGCACACTTGGGCAGAAAGTTAAGTATCGCATTAATGCTATGTCAAGCATACTTCCTCCAAGTCCTTCCATTTTGTAGCATCACGCCTATGAACAAACTCGCCGAACTACAGAAAGCATCTGAAAACATACTTCTACAATAATTATTTTTCTTTCGACAAAGGGTAGTGCCTCGTGTCCCCTCGGAAAAAGGCGCTTTATCAATCCAAATTAAACGTCAATCGGTGGAAAGAAATGGAATGTATTTTTTTTTCTTTTTCTAAAGAGTACCAAACTTCGCGGACATATTGGCCTGTAGTCAAGGCTGCTGGTTCCCAACAATTTGGTGCTAAACAATGGTGGATTTCTTTGTTGTGATCACACAAGCGCCCTAACACTGAATTTGCCATGCTCCAGCCCGTCGCTTGAATGCTTCTGCGGTGAACCTCATGCGCAGTCTCATTAGAACCATTAACCTGGACGAGGTGCGAACTTGACGTTAGCGCTTCGGGTTTTTTTGAGAGGGATCTAAACATTTCACTGATCTATCTTATTTCTTGATGATGTCATCAAATTGGCTAAATACATGGTATTAACTTTAGATTCGATTCCGGTTTTTATTTTCATTTCTCACACAACATAAATCTAGGGGCTTTGATTTGATGCATTTTAAAATTCATTCATTGAATTGCAAAAGAAAATGTTTACATTTGCTGTAAAAAATGAATGCTTATTTTAATGAAAAATGTGGAAACGGAGGGATCCACCAAGAAGCAGGGCTCGTAAAATGTGGATCCTTTAAATAAAAATAATCCTAGATTCATGTAATAGTATACGTATATTAATTTTTATTATAGCACAAAGGGAAACAAAGATTAATTAATCTGCACGTGTGAAGTGGTAATATAGGATTTCCCGGCCAAATTCGCGTGTTTGTCATTCGAATTCATTTACTTTGCATTTAAGTTAGCGCAGATCGGGTTTGCCATGCCAATTATCTTTCAATTTTCCAGTTTTTGTATTTAATTAAGGATTTTGGTCGAAGGGTTTCATAGATCTGTCATTCAATTTAGAAACTGCTCAACTAGCATTCAAATTAATATTCACTTGTCGAAGCGTATTTTTTTATCATTCAAATTAACTCCTGTCATTCGTATTCGTAATATTTTTATTCAAGTTAGGAATGTTAGGGGGAAGAATTGCAACAAATTTTTACAGTTTTTAAACAATGCAGTTAAAATGCATCATTTGCCATTGGGGTCTAAGCTGTTATTCCATTTATTTATTTTCAGGACAATGCAGATGGGTGTAGTCAGACATAAAGTAAAGAAGGGGCGAAATCAAGGGATAAGGCATTTCTGCACAGACATGTTCATATACCCGGGAAAGGTGGGGGTACCCTCAATCGCCCCTTTTTACTACAGACTCGGAATTTTACAAAAGTAATTCACATCGTCTCTTATACCCAGCACACCACTCTGTTTTTCTTCAAGAGTTTCATAGTTTACTTGCCCGCCAGCAGATCCGACTAAAGACATGGCTAAATAATGAATCATGTTCAAATTGTTGACTCTAGTCCCTACCCCAGTCACAATATTGTACCCTTCTTCCATAATGAAATTATGATGAAATTATGATAAATTTATGATGAAACATAAGACAAACAACTTCCTTACATGAACATTTACAAATATACCGAGACTATCAGGTCCGTAGATGCAAGTCGTTTTTTTCTTCTTAACAATCAAACTTAAATGCTGATGAATATCAGATCAATCTAATAAGTATAAGTGTATAAATGCAAGAAATTGAAATATGATGAAATACACATGAAAAAACAATCTTGAAAGAAAATGAATGAGCTATAAAAAGTGTGTAATAAACGATAAATGTATATTGACCATCAATTTAAGTGCACAAAGTGCTAATTTGAATGCTACAGATGAATTAGAATGCTAGAGGTACATCGTCGCGTTGTCAGAAAATCGTGTTGAGCCAAATCGAATGACCAAATAGCGAAAGAAGCACATTGTTTATTAATTTGAATGAAACATATGTAGATTCTAACAAAAATTCCATAGATTTGAAAACTAGAAAAGGGAATATAAACCCGATATATAGCTGACTGCATTAAAACCGTCGAATTTGAACGCAAGACAAATTAATTTGAATGACAAACTCGCGAATTTGGCCGGGAAATCCTATATCAAATTTTACGAGGGTGAACTTACTTATCAAAATAAATTACATCGTCTTGCTTTCCTCCTACAGATGCTATTGAGCGATTTGTCGTGGTCGAGCGACAAACTACAACATCAACAATCATCAAAACCGACAACCTGCAAAACCGACAACCCCGGAGGCTGATGATTATACTAATAAGAGTTATAATAACGTTAGGTTCGTAATTTATGAACCAGAGCTAAATAATACAGACTTCCAATAGAAAATCTATTTATTCAGATGGTCATATCTCAGCCGATACTTATTCAATTGTGTTTTTTTGTTTACATTTGCACACTTTTTTTAATGCTCTTTCGGAAATGAAGAAAAATTGAGAAAATGTCACAGCTTAGGCACTCTATTCTCATTTGTAAACTCTCTCAGCTAACAAAAAGTTAAACGCATGAACATAAAACTTGCCATATAATTCATGGCACACACACATAACAAAAAGCTGCATACAGTGTACATGTGAACTGCAGAAACTAAGAAATATGGTCGAATTTTTTTGTGAAGCGTCATATCTCTGGATCCAACATGACACTCGGTTACTTTATCCCTTTCAACTCATCAAAATGATGTACAAATATCACACTTTTCGTGGCATATTCAAAATAAAAATGCACATACCAAGATATGCCTATAAGATAAGAAAATTTCAATTTGTGTTTGTTTATTTTGTTGTGGACTCGGTGTTATGTCTGAGTATTGTAAAATTGTGTATGATGATCTTAGGATGGGTGAAGTGTACTTGTTTTTGAAGGGGGTAGATATTCGTGTTTAATAATGTGTGATTTCATTAGTAAAGTGTATATTTATAGGAAGTGTCTTTGGATACATAGGTGACTGGTATTCAGCATATCATATCTCATGAGGCCTACAAAAAAGAGGTAAATATAATATAACGAAAATGGGGGGGGGGGGGGGGGGCTGGTAAAACAGAAAATGGGAGAAAAGTTTAGGGTGAGAGATTAAAGAGAGACAGAAAGCGAAAGACAGAGAGAATGGGGAGAGGGTAAAATGGAGGAGAGAGAGGGAGAGAGATAGAAAGGGTGTGATAGGGAGAGAGAGAGAGAGAGAGAGAGAGAAGAACACAAACACAAAACTAGTCATTCAAAAGTCTTTTCATTTAAGTCTGTGGAAATGCATTTCAAAGTAATTGAATTTTAAAAAAATTGAGGGAAAATGCATTTCTGCAGTATTACTGCAGACATCAAAACTATATCAATGTTTAAAATTATTTAGAACTTGTATACATATATATTGAAAGAAAGGTGTAGTACGGGATATTCATGTTTATATATAATTAGCGATATGATAATCAAATATATTATGAAAAGACAAATATTATTGTCAGATAAACTGAAATCATTAACTGAACTGTGGAGATTTCATTGTGTAACATTGATTAACAATAATTCCAAGTAATCTATTAAAGAAATCAAATTTTCCCTGTTATCTGGAATCCCTCTAAATATTACACTAAAATGAATGCACGCAGTATGAAATCGATCACCACAAAACGAAATTGAATGCCGAAAAAACAGGCTCATCGTGAGCGCCGCGTTAATTTGAAGTGTGAAATAGGCCGCAAAAACCTATATTATTATGTGTTTGGTCACACTGGCTAAGTTGTTAAGGTTGCTGGTTCTAAACAATTTGGTGCTAAACAACGGTGTACATCACAAAATTTGCTCTGCTCCAGCCTGTATGCTTCTGCGGTGAACCTCATGCGCAAGCTCAGTTGTTCAGACCCGTTAACCTTGATTTTGACGCTAGGAGTTTGATTCTTTACGGAGGGATCTCAAGATGTCACTCATCTATTTTATGTGCTGATGTTGTAGATGTCATAACATCGACTTAGTACATGGTGTTAGCTTCAGATTCAGATTCAGTTTCGGTTTCTATTTAAATTTCCCACACAACAATCAAAACATACAGTTAGGACAAAAAAATAAATCCAAAAATATCACTGCGCTATGATATAATGCATTTTAAAAATCATTAATTGAATTACAAAATAAAATGTTGACATACTGTAATTCATGTATGCTTGATTTAACGGAAAGCTGTGGAAACGGAGAAATCCACTAACAAGCAGTGATTGTAAAATGTGGATCCATCATATATCATAAATTCATGTAATAAATACGTCTAATCATTTGTTAAGCACGTGGGGAAGCAAAAATTCATTCATATGTTAGTGTGGAGTAGTATAAATATTACATTTTCTTAGAGTTCAAATAGAGAATCTAATTATCAATTGAATCATTTCAGTTGATGGCTGCAAATAGAAAAACATTGTAAATAAATGATATCTTCTTGCTTTCATCCTAAAGGCGCTATTTAGTGAAATATCGTGGTCGATCGACAAACTACAACAACAAACAATCTTCACATACCTAATAATTTTAAATGTTCAATTTGTATAGGTTATATTTTGATGGTAAAAACGTGTGCAAAAGTTTAAAATTAAATTGTTTGATTCTGTTATCTCGTATAGCATTGAACCTAAAAATATATACCGGATTCCAATTTAAATCGGAGGGCATTACTAATCGTATAGCTGCCAAGCATTGTACACAAAAGACTATTCTTTCTTTTGTTTTACACAAAATATAAGTAGAATTGTTTAGCCTTCATATTTGAAATATTTATATCATCACCAGTTGATATTTGTATAAAATTAGGGTGATGTGTTTGATACAAATCATTATTGTATTAATCGAGGCAGAAATTTAGAAGGTTTTATTCACCTTTGAACATTTGAAAGAAAACAACAGTTTTTGAAACTTACATTTTTGACACATGAAATCCACATCATTCCAATGTCCTTGACTAAAAATCCCAACATTTTCACATAACTTGAATTGCAAAACCTGGATATGATTTTACTATGTTGCTATTAATATATTTGTAATCATGGGTGTTCAATATATATATATATATATCAATCCTGACCAAGTGCAAGGTAAATCAAATAAAAAATGGGGTATCCTAGACATTCGACATAGTTTCTCCATTTCTCTAGAAGAAAAAAAAAAAAAATCAAATTTTCCATGTAGCTTTTTCCTCATAACATATCTCCTTATCCAGAAGATTCACAGAGAACCGACTGTCAGTCAACCAGACCACTATATAGAAATGCCTATTATTATTATTATTATTATTATTATTATATAAACCCAACCCCCTTTTATATTTATAAAAAAGTATATATATATATATATATATATATACATTTTATTTATTTATTTTTGTTTTCGATATCTTATCCCCATATGAATGAAAAAAAAAATCTTATTATTAAAATAAATTAAAAAAAAAAGAATGTGGTATTAGGAATAGCAGTCGTCATTCGTCACATAAGTAATTTGCGACCATATGGAAACGTTTGCTTGGATTTGCCTCATAAAAGAAGTTGACCACAACGCGCAGCGCTGAGGATGCAGGGGTCACGGGCACAGAATTGTAATATACGTAGAACGCTCGTCTCAATTTACAATGCACAGATCGACGTGTGGCCGTTGAACGTGCTGGGAGTACGCCATTTTACAGTCCTTGATCTTTTCAGCGCACAAATTTCAAGCCTGGCCTGTCGTTGAGAAATAAAACGGTGAACATAACAGAGGACTAACGAAGATGGACGAGATCACGTACTAGCGTTTGCCACATTTCTCGAACCACTTTGAGCCTTCTACGTATATTTACAGTTCTGTGGTCACGAGCCACTTGCTTCATCGGGCAGGTAGTTTTATTATGTGAATGCGTAAATTCCGCGAAAAAATATACAACCAATCAAAACAAGTTTAATATAAAAAAAAAAAATCTAACGATTAGTTTATTCATTAGCCGCTCACCCCAAAGCCGCCTGACCAAAATGGAACGAGCGAGGACTTGCGAGAGTGGCCGAAGAGCAATTGAAACTCGCTATTTTGCTCATTTCCAACGTAAAAAGAGAAGTCATTGTGCTGGAGTACTGTGTTTTTTTCCGACAAGAGTCCAGAGAAATTGCATATTATTTGTTGATGTGCAAAAATGTTTATTTGTTCTATGCACGCAAGTCATCTAAAAAACAAAGAAATGTTGGGGAAGGTTTTTAAGTGTTACCAAAAAAGTACATCGTTGTAAATGAAAAAGCAAGGTATGTCTAAAGACTCAATTAATATTCCACTTTTTCTTTAATCTATAAAAACAGTTTTCATTACCAACTTGAGTCTACAAACGTTACATTCATTGAAAAGGGTATAAAATACATTCCTGTAAAATATAGAAAAATATTCATATCTCTTCCTCTTTCATTTTTGTTTCCATTTCATGTTTTCTATTCGCTTAAAATTAAAAATCATATTCTAACAAATTAAAGTTTAATACTACAAAAAAAAGGTTAACATCGTGTTTACACGAACACAAAACATTCAAAAAATAAACAGAATTTAGTTTAATATTGCAGAAATGCAATACTTTAGGGAGAGAAGCAAATGTATATACAATGATAGCTTTGCAAGTAACACTTTTAATGCAATCTTTTTACAACAATAAACCTCCATTTCCCTTCTTCCCAAGTCCCAATCAGGAGGAAAGCGTCACCGTCCATGCCACTGCGCATAACCAAGAAAACTAACACACACATATATATATATATACACACAAATACACACACAAACGCGCACACACATTCACTCGTACACATACAAGCACACATGCGATTGATAAAACTATAATAATAATGAGGATAATAATAATAACAATAATAACAATAATAACAATAATAATTATGCTAATAGCAATATTTTATTATGCACCCAAACCCATTGAGTATACTCGAAGCGCCTGACAAAATACGTACAGCTTTTATCATTACAGGAAGCAAACGAAACTCATCACATATAACATATAAAAGCTAATATTGAGCTCTGGTATGGGAATCGTAATTTGAGAGAAAGTTGCTATGATTTATTCTGGATTATTATTACTGCAGTAGACTGGTTGTTTGCACCAGTGAAATATAGAAACAAATGCACAAAACTTACTTGGCATCATATTGAATTTAAAAAAAATAGTAATGATAATAATTATATTTCCACAAAGTGATCTGTTCTAAGAACATGGTGTCGGGCCTACTTACCCGGATTTCCTTATCTTTCTATGCTCATTACTCAGCCACTAAACATTTTCTACGAAAATTGATTGGCACATGTCACTTATGTGTAAACATGTGAACATCCATCGTAAGTTTCGTTGGATTATGTGAGAATTTGTTTCTAC